TGTGGGTGTCATCCAAGGTAAACTCAGAGGGCCAGGATAATTTAACTCCCTGCTTGCTTCCTGTGTATAGAACGAAGACATTGGTATACAGGATTTCTCGACCCAGTTTTATCTCGATGCTGTGATCAAATTAGTTAATTAAATGTTTTAATTAAGCAGCAACTGTGGGTTTTGGATTTTTTTAGACACCTCATTCTCCTGCTTCAGAATGGGACTCGTGTAAGATCTGGATTCATACTCTCACTTAGCCACTTACTGGCTGCTTACAATAGACAGGGTTCTTGTGTAAAGTGGGACCAATAGCTAATTTTTTTTGAGTGGTTACATGTATTAACTCATTTAATTTTTACAAGATCCTATAATTATTATTTGAAAGGTGAGTGAACTGCACCACAAGGTTAAATCATTTGTCCAAAGTCACATTGCTAGTAAGTGGTGGAGCCAGGATTCCAACCCAGATTGTTTGACTTCAAAGTCTGCACTCTTAACAGGCTATACTGTCTTTCTGCACCAGTCGGATGAGGTTATTGTATTTAATGAGTTAATGCATATAAAACACAGTTACAATTCCTGGTTCACAGCTAAGTTGTATTGATTGCTACTATCATTATTTTGAGCTGTAAACTCTTAAGCCCCAAAATAGAGAACCAAAGGACAAAAAAAAGAACAGAGAAGCTTTCACCTTCAGTTTTAAAGATGAAAAAACTGGCACTTCAACAAAGCGATTTACCCAAGGTCTTGCAGCTGAGAAATGATGGAGAGGTGTTTTTGTAAAATCCAGATCTTCTGTCTGTGTGCATTTTTCTTTGTTACACCTAACAGCAAAAGCTAACAGAACAGTTCAGAGAAGAAAATGGTCTGTTTACTTAATTTATTAATGATTTTAGGAAAACATTAATGAGTGTTTTCTAAGGAAACTATTATATATGGAAGAAATCCTCAGTTTACTTTTTAAAAACTATATAAAATGAAGAAAATTAAATATTTTGTTTTGTACACAGCAGTATGCTTCTGATTGAACCTCTCCACTTGACTGTAAAAATACACTGATCAGAACTACCTGGCATCTTTCTGAGCAAGACTTTAAATCGGACCCAGTATGCTTCACTTCATCCAGAAGTTTTCTCTAGCATCTCCAAAGGTTGGTTTATTCAGCAAATATTTGAGCACTGCTTGCCAAGTACAGCTTGGCTGGGGCAATAGCAGTGAAAGAAAAAAAAAAAAGACAAAAATCCTTATCCTCATATATTCAGGTGGTGGGGGAAAGGGTAGGCAAAACACAAATACATAAAATATTTCATATGTCAAATAGTAAGTGCTGTGAGGAACTATAAAACAGGAAAGGAGAATAAGGAATGTCAACTATAGGCTGAGGATTGCACTTACAAATATGGTGGTTCAGAAATGAGGAAATGGAGTATGCAGGTAGCTTAGGGAAGAACATTCTAGACAAAAAGGAAAAAAGGCCTGAGGTAGAATCATTCCTAGAAGTTTGTGGAGTCACCAAGATTCTTAATTGTTTCATTTCCCCCTTCATCTAATTCTTTGAGTTACGGTTGATCTGTTTACTAGTTGAAGTCTAGAATCTGTTCACTAAATAATCAGCAGGAAAGGTTATTGCTTTGGCCGTGTACCAGAAAGGCACTGGGGATTTTTCTTTTGAGGCAAAGAAAAAAATATGGTCCTGACTTTGAAGTCTACTAAGACAAACACATGATTTTAATTCACTGTGAGAATAAAGATGTAAGTGTGCATAGGGTACTTGCTTATAGGAGTAATAAATCAGATTGGAGAAAACTTCAAGATGAATTTTGAAAGTTCCCTAGGCATAAAAGTAGTAAGCTATAATTCTAGGCACAAACATGTAGAAAGGCATGTAGCAATGAAAAGTATGCAGTGTCTATAAAGCTAAATTGAAAGGTTGCTTTTTACATAAAATAGCTCTCCCACAGTAATTAATGTTTCTGCTTTTGCAATTTATAAACAGAACAGGCAGTTTAGCCAAATACTAAAGACATAGTCTTTACCTGTTCCTCTTTCAGATATTTCTGTCATGGAATAAGATTCATGGTAGGTGTAAAAATATCACCAGTTTCTATTCAGTAGTTACTTTTGCATGTTGTGTAGTCTTAACCAGTAATTGACATCTCCCTGAATAACATCACCCTGTTGTCCAACTTTTCTGTTGGACAAACTTCAGTGGGCTAAGAGAAAGCAAATGGTTTATTTTTATATTGTTTCAGATTAACTATGACATTTGGTGATTTTAAAAAATCTGTTTCTGTCTTTTGGTTTGATTTTTCTCTATAGATGCTGAAGTACCCTTTCACAGTCCCACTAGGAGCCAGCAAGAAAATAGAAACAGTTTCTTTCAAGACATACCTCCAGCAGAACTTTTCCCCTTTGTTTCCAAGGCCTTGGCTTTTCTCATCACTTCCAGTGTGTGTGAACAAAGCACAGTACTATCATACTTCGCTTTGCAGCTTAAAAAATAAGCAGAAGCAAGCAGTACTTCCATCCAGGCCTCCAAGCACCATCACTTACCTGCCTGACAGCCCAAAGCCAGCATTATACATAACTTTGGCAGGACTAATCCCCTTCATTGCTCCACCACTGGTCATGGTGATGACAAAGACTTATGTCCCCATATTAGCTTTTACTCAGATGGCTTATGGAGCCAGTTTCCTATCTTTCTTGGGAGGGATCAGATGGGGTTTTGCTCTTCCAGAAGGTAGTGCAGCCAAACCAGACTTCCTCAATTTAGCTAACAGTATAGTTCCTGTTTTGTTTTCATGGTTTGCTTTCCTTATTTCTGAAAGACTCAGTGAAGCTATAGTCACAGTAATAATAGGTTTGGGGATAGCATTACACACTGAACTTTTTCTCTCCTGGCCACATTATCCCAACTGGTTCAAATTCCTGAGGATAGCAGTCACTTTAGTAGCCACTTTTTCATTTGTAATCACTTTAGTAGTAAAAGCTATTTATCCAGAGAGAGGACCCAAGAGACTTGGTCAAGTAGAATAAATATAAAACTACTCTGTAGATGACATTTGTGTTGGCTACAAGCCTTGTAAGGTTGTGATTTTTCTACTTCTCCTCTTAGCTTTTTTTTCCCCTACCAATAATAATTTATTATTCACAAATTATTTTTCATTTCTAGAAATCTTTATTTCATAGACATTACTTGAGCAACATCTTGAAAATCCCTAACAAGTCCTTTTTGTTTCATATTAGGTTACAGTTCTCATTCAATCTTTTTATGAATTACATAGTCACCCATTTAAATTGTTCAATGTTTTCTTTTGAAAAATAAAAAATAATAAAGAGATGAAAAATCCCTTTTGCTAGAGTCTTATGATCACTGAAACCACACACAAACATTCCCTCACAAGAGAAAAACATTCATGAGTGTCTGAAAATAATGGATGGTTCCAGTGTGGAGTTTTCATCGCACTTGCCCCTGGGAATTACATTTCCAACCTCATTTTACCTGGTATGACCTAGTTATATGAACTGAAAGGATCTGTGGTTCTAAAGTCAGTAGTGAGCATTGCCATGAGGGAGGGGAAGCCATGTTCAAAGAAAAGCTGGACACACTTTCCAGCTTTTGTCAAGATATTTGGCAAAGTACTGATGCAGCTTACTTTATCACCAAACATAACACCACCTGGTTAAAAATATTTAAAAGAATAAAGCTATTAGTACATATAAATCAGAAAGGAAAACTCAAGCTGAAGTCATCTTCATGTTCTAACGGGTAGGTCTATCTAGTTTAATGTGTTAACTCACAGCAGTTTTTTTAAAACAGAAAAAACAACTTGGATTTTCACATGAAAATATAGTTTCTTAAGAATTGTAGTCATGAAAAAATTTTAAATCATATAGGAAAATAATCAGGAAATGTTATCACCTGATATGTGTTATCTTTGTATAAATCCAGTGATTCTTGCTGTGAAGAGATTTATCAAAGTCTAGAGTGGTAACTTGTTTACTTTCTTTCACAGTGCTATGGGGTGAATTGTATATTAAAGTCCTAATCCCCAATATCTCAGAATGTGATCTTGTTTGGAGACAGGGTCTTGACAGACCTAATAGGTCTAAAATGAGGTCATAAGGATAGGCTGTAATGTAATATTATACATTATGTTGTATTCATTGTAATAAAAAAAATTAGAGATAAACATACAGGGAGAATGCCATGTGAACATAATGATGGCCATCCACATGCCATGGAGAGAAGCCTGGAACAGATAGAGCCCTCCCTTTTAGCCCTCAGAAGGAACCACCTCTACCAACGCCTTGATTTTAGACTTCTACCACCAAAACTGTAAGACAATAAATTATTTTGTTTAAATTTCTATGGTACTTTGTTACAGCACCATTAAAAAACAAATACAGCACTTTAAAGCTAAACATTGTGATCACTGAGAACCTTACCAGTTAAAGCTTGTGGCTGAAACCATCACAAGATCCTTCATTATTAATGTACAGAATAGCTTAATACAGACTGATACTGAAGCAAAGAAAGTTTATACACTTCAGGATATTTTTCTCAGATTCTGCTCAGACTCTGTGTTTTGGTAAGGAAACTCCTTTGCTTCTAGATTGCATGAGAACTATGCAAACTTTAGACTTTTCTCTGATCTCAAACTCATTATCTTTCAGTATAAGGGCAAATCATATTTTTAGGCTAATTGCCCAATTTCACTAAACAAATGCAGTGGAATGCATTTTGCAAGTGAATTACAGTATATAATTCTTTAAGAAAACTGATTTTTAAGTATATTCAATTTTAAGTTCACTGGACAGGATATTTAGGAGCATACTGAGTTGTCAAATATCTTGAAGGAAGATAACATTAATAGTTGCTCAGAAAACAATTAATGTAAAACTAAAAGTACAAGTCCCTAAAATTAAAACACACTAAAAACCTGGGCATCCTACTAGTTTGGTATTCCAGGAATGCAGTTTATAAACTAAGTTAATAATACAATGAAAAGCAAAAATCAAGGTACTTTATTAATATATTCTTTTTAAAACAATGTTATTACCTAGGAAATAAGCATATTTACAATGACCTACTTTCAGGGATTATCTGTAACTATTAAGTCCAAACACTGATTGTCTTGACATTACATCTCTGCCACAGCAGTACAAATTGTCTCCTTTACAGTGCCATTTTAGGTTGGCACCAGGCAATAATGAGAAAGTACAGGAGCATTTTGTGTATCTTTTTTGGACCAAAATGCAGATTCTCTGTAGCTAGAAATATTAAGGACACATGAGTTAGAGCTTAAATAGTCAAATTATCTTTATACTTCATTCTTTGACATTTTACAGATCCTAACCAGGCATTTGTGACCCTTCAGATTAGGATACCCCAAAGAAAGGGACACAGAGTTGTCTGTCTGCACTATATAAGCTTTTCTTAATGCATGCATGTGTTTATGTTATAAAGTACCCTTGTGGGAAAATAAAAAGTATTTTGGATGTGAATGCTACCTGAGACTTTAGTGCTTACCAAAGGTTTTCTATCTAAATAAGCTGCTGATACCTATAACAATATACCAAATGATTTTACTAAAGAAAAGAGGAAAGCAGGGATATACACATGAAATCCTGGAATCAGCTAGGTAAACCTAAATATATGTAAGACCTTTAATACATATGTCTCCAACCTACTAGTAGAAAGAACTTCAAAGTGATGATCATGTATATGAACAATCTTTCTGTTGAACTGGACAGAGAATAATTCCTTAGAATGCTTCTTAGGGAATAATGAGAAATTTTGAGAAGCAGTTTTGGATGAGAGGTCTTTCACTTTACACTTAACGTTAATGTCTATTTATAAAGTTTAACAGGTACCTATAATTCCACCTTCTCCAAGCCAGACCATAATTTGGAGTAAGTGTATACTTGGGCAAGCCCAAGTATAAGTAAGCTTTATAAAGCTTGATAATCTAATAAAATTCCCTCTTCCTAAAGCTAAACAGACATTTTTGGTAACTAGAAAATAGGGAAGAAATGTATTAGGTACATACACCTGCTGGGCTCTATCACCCATTATATTATCCTATTATAATAAAGGACTGTCACTAAGAACCTATTAATCCCTCCCTTGTATTCCCAGCATCAAGACAAAAAACACAAATGAGCTTTTTTATGTTATTATCCATAGGAGAAAACTTACCTATCTACATAAATAGCTAGATATTTCCTACATACAGAGTTGCCAAGAAGTTTGGGGCTAGTGAAAACTCCTGGCATCAAATTAAGGTAGAAAGTTGTTTCATTGACTTTTCTCTGTAGTTTAAACTACAGTCATGGAAAATTGTTCTCTGAATTGAATCATGAAATGTATAGATATCTTTAAACTGTCTCACTGATATTCTTACATTACATAAGGGTCATGTTACAGCTGGAAATGCACTGGAAAAGCAGCTAAAGGGGGTTATTTGCCAAGAAGGTTCTAGAAAATCATTTTTACAAATAGGACTTTACCACAAACCAGAGAATTCTAGAGCATAAACAGTATTTCTACTGGTAAGCTTGGTAAATCTGTGTGAGCTCTTTATTAATTTAGGATATATTCCATGTCCATTCTTAGTCAAATTCTTAGAAAAATCATTCTATAGTCATTTTATCTATCAAATACATGGAAAACTCAATAAAATCAGAAGGTCCTGTCACCAAATACATATGTAACTTGCAGAAGGTCAGATCCTGTATTTTCAAATGTTTCTTGTGCTCTCTTATGCTTTTTATTTCATAGGACAGCAACACCTCCTTCACAACGACTGGTGATCATGTTACCAATTTCTGTCCATGTATCTGAATGAGGGTTATACACTTCAACTGAGTCCAAAGTACCTGGGGCCAAAAAATCATGGCTGGAAGACTGACCTCCAGAAACATACAGAAGCCCATTGACTGCCACAACACACATGCCTGCTCTAGGCACTTTCATTGAGGCAACTTCAACCCACTTTTCCTGGTTAAGAGGAAAAAAAAGTTAGCAGTGTCAAAAAATGATTAACAGAGAAATCAGATACTGTAAATTCCTTTTACATGTTTAAATTTCAAACTCACAATCCAGTCACATAAGTATATAGAACGTTTTTAAATGAACTTTCAAGTAGGTGTAGACAAAGTAGTGAGTGTAGAGAAAAACAATTGAACATGCCTGTAACTATAATTATGATCAGGAGATGATCTACAAATTCTATACAGGCAGGTATTCTGAGAATCTAGTTCTATGGAACACAAGTAGGTAATGCACACGCACACATAAAACACAAATCCACAAAGCTCCACGGAGGAAAAAAGCTTTTATATAGAAGGCCTTTTAAAAGTCTTTAATATGCTAATGAGCCTTATAAATCTCCAAGAGAATGATATAATGAACAACACTTCCCCCAATTAATTAGACCACCGAATCCCTTTTTTCAAGGACCATCTAGTGGAGTTTAGTGATCTGCAAAACATATTTTCAGAAAGGTAGTACAGATCAGGAGTTGGAAACTGTAGCCTATTTGTAAGCCTATAAACTAAGAATGATCTTTCCATAGTAAAAGTTTATTTAAAAAACAAAACGGAATATGCCTAAAGAAGAGATTGTATGTCACTAGGCCTAAGAACTTTACTACCTGGCCCTTTAACAAAAAGTTTGTTAACTCATGGTATACACTGTTCCCTGAAGAAATTTCAATAAGCCGCTATTGCCAAAATGACTTGTAATGTCCTGCTCCAGGGAAGATGTCTATACCCAGAACACAAGAAAACTAATAAAGCTCCTGAGAAACAATTGAGAGAGAAAAGAATAATTAGCCAGGTAAAAAAAGAATTTGGAAGTAAAGCATAGGATGAACAAAGTTTATAAAATCATAAAAAGTGAACATTGATTATTCATCAGTGCTAGAAAATAAACTTTTTGAGGACAGGGACTTATTAAGCCTCACATTCCAGTACCAGTATAGCACCAGCACATTATAGACAGTGTTATGTTTGCTGATTTCAACTTAAATGAAATCCTGAAATACTTTAACCAGAGACAATCCTTTGAAAGTGAAGGTCCATTTTAAATTTGGCTATCTGAAATTATAGAACATTAAGCAAAGTTAGCATAGCTGAAAAAAATACTCATATTTTAAGAGACAGATCTATTCACAAAAATAACTATAGCAAGTTAATATAAATTAGGATGTTGGGTTTATGATTATCATTAGGGAGAACCAACCTTTCCTCTCCCACAAAAATGGTTTGACATGAATAAGTGAACATAGGGGGCTCTTCCAGTAATGTTTATCTTTCATTTCTATCAGTGTATTAGAACTATAGTTTGCTTTTTATCCTGAATCACTCAAAATAAACTCTGTAAAACCAGAAACATGTTTGTAAATAACAATAACATTTTAGATTTATGCATGAAAAGCCAAGTAACACATTAATGATGAGCACTTACTTTGGAAAGAAAACCCATTCATTTCTAGCCATATAGAAAAATTAGCAACAGAAAGAACCCTTGGAAAGTTCATTTCCTGTATTTCCAAAAAAGATATAATAGAAGGTAACAGGAATTTGAAATAATGCCAAAGTCTGAAACTTGTCAGAAATGATAAGACAAGGATTCCACTCTTGCCCTTTCCTTTCAACATTGTACTGGAGATTCTAGTCAGAGAATTTGGAAAGAAAATGAAATAAAAGGCATCCAGATTGGAAAGGAAAAAGTAAGATGATCTCCATTTATAGATAGCATGGTCTTGTATATAGAAAATCTTAAGGAATCCACAAAAAAAAACTATTAGAGTATGAGGGCTTCAAAATTTTAGGATATAAGATCAAAAGACAAACATCAATTGAACTTCTATATACTAGCACTGACAAATCTGAACATAAAATTGAGAGAACAATTCAATTTACAATAGTATCAAAAGGAGCAACATATTTAGGAATAAATTTAATCAACAGAGTGCATGGAACTGAAAACCACAAAACACTGTTGAAACAAACTAAAGTAGACCTGAATTAATGGAAAGACATCCCATGTTTAAGATGAAGAGACCTAATATTAAGATAGCAACCCCCAAATTGATCTCAGATTCAATGTATTCCCTATCAAAACCCAGCTGGCTTCTTGGCAGAAACTGACAAGGTGATTCTAAAATACATATGGAATTCAAGGGACTCAGAACAGCCTAACCAAATTTCAAATTTCAAAACTTACTACAGAGCTATAGTAACCAAGATAGTCTGGTTGGTACAGGCATAAGGATGGACATACGGATAAATGAATAGCATTGAGAGTGTACAAATAAACCCTCACATTTATGGTCACTTGATTTCCAACAAAGGCAACAAGACAATCCAATGGAAAAGAAGAGTCTTTTCAACAAGCAGTGCTCGGACAAATGGTTAGCTACATGCAAAAGAATGAAGGTGGAGCCCTACCTCACATTATATTCAAAAATTAACTCAAGACCTAAATATAAGAGCTAAAACTATAAAACTCAGAAAAAAGTGTAGACATAAATCTTCATGACCTTGGATTAAACAATGGTTTCTTAGTTATAACATCAAAAACACAAGTGACAAAAGAAAAAATAGATAGGAAATCAAAATTAAAAACTTTTGTGCTTCTAAGGATACTATCAAGGAAGCAAAGAAAACCACTCTGGGAATGGGAGAAAATTTTTGCAAATCATGTATCTCTGACAAAGGGCTTGCATCTAGAAGAACTTATACACCTCAGTAATAAAAAGGCAAATAATCCATTTTAAAGTAGACAAAATTTGAATAGATTTTTTTCTTCAAAGAAGATATACAAATGACCAATAAGCACGTGAAAAGATGCTCAACATCATTAACCATCAGGGAAATACAAATCAAAGCCACAATGAGATACAAATTCACACTTACTAGATTAGCTATAATGAAAAAGATAAATAATGATAAGCATTGGATGTGGAGAAATTAGAACTCTCATACACTGCTGGTGATTAAGTAAAATGGTCCAGCCACTTTGGAAAACAATCTGGCAGTCCCAATAAAGGGTAAACATAGAGTTACCATATGATCCAGCAATTCTAATCCTAGGTATATACCCAGGAGAAAGGAAAACATATGTCCACAGAAAAACATGTACATAAATGTTTAGAGCAGCACTGTTCATAACAGCTGAAAAGATGAAACAACTCAAGTGTTTGGTATGTGAATTATATTTCCAAAAAGATTTTAACTAAAATTCTTTCTACTTAAAAATTTTAAAAAATCTTTAGCTATTCAAGGTTTTAATAACTATAAGTAGTTTAAGAACCATAACATTCAAATAACATTAATTCATATTTCCCAAAATATGTTCCCTGAAACACTTTTTTCCCTGAGATGTTCCATAAACAAAAGCAAGGGTTGTGTGGTCAACTGAATTTGAGAGATTTAGTATAAAGATTCATTACATTATTGTACTAAATTATATAAAGAAGTCCTGTGGTAAAGAAACTTATTTAAATTTGTTTAACTTAGCTTTCCATAAATATAATTAACCAGGGAAATGCATGTTACCTAATTCCTATCAACAATGCAAAAAATTAGTATTTCATGGAAATTATCTGTAAGTCCACACTACACACTTTGTACTTCATTATCCGAGCACCTAACAAACTGCAATGCAACTGTTTGTCTATTTATTTCTCAATTACTCCCACTAGAATTTAGGCTACTTGAGAGCTGAGAGCCTTATATGGTTAGTTTGCCTTGTTTCTCCAGGCATACTGCCTGATCCATACTTATATACTAGTAAGTTGGTTATTTGTGAATGAATAAACGAACTAATGAACAAATGCATGATAAAACAGTGACTCAGTGAAAATACCCTTCTGTATCTTTCTCTTCTCTGCCCTTCCTAGCATAACTGAGTCAACCCAGCAATTGAGGGTATGAGGGAACACTGAAGAGCTCAGATGGATAGTGACATTATGGGTAATTGCAGAGCTGGCAGGTGGAGAAGACAGCTGGTCTGGCAGGGAGATTTCTTTCATTTAACAAATAAGCAAACTGAGCACTAGAGGGGATGAGGATTTAATAATATGGGTAACTGTTGAACGACTGTGTTTGAAACCAATATAAGATTGTGTATCAAAGATACTGCAATAAAAAAACAAGAACAAATAAGCAAACTGAATGAACAAATAAATATACTGAGAAAATGGGAGCCACGTTTTTAACTGACAGAGAGGGTATTTATTTACAACAGAAATAGGGGAAGGCCTAAAAGAATCTTCGATGTACTGGAAATGCATTATACCACATATGCACAATAGATACAGAAATATTTACAAATGAATATGTATGTGAATACATACACATATATATACACACATACATTTCCTAACTCTATTTACTGAGAGTGCCTAGAAGCAGCAGTACCCCAGTAGCCATAAGTACTCTGAATACCTCTAATCTTGGTTTCTAAATACTGTCCTTTAGGACTAAAGGAAACTGGAGCTTCTTGGAGAAACAGCAGATTCCAGGGCTAGAGCAGAAAAAGTACAAAATGAGACTGAAGTATTTTATTATTACAGAAATTAAAGAAGTGCTCAATGAATGATGGGAACATGTCAAAAGGACACAGGAAGGTTTTCCACTTTGAGCCATGACAGAGAAATTGTTACCAGTTACCTTCCTTCCATAAAGACCTAGAAAACTGGATAAAACACATGAAATAAAGTTCTCAGACAATGCACAACAGGCAATGAAAAGTTGTGATCCCTCAGAAAAAGAACCCAAAAGGTGAGCTTCATGTTCACCCAGGTTTTCTGCCTGGAAGGACTTTCTGAATAGCAGTACAGGGACGGGGATCCCAAGCACAGCAGGACAGTCAGCTGATTTAGGAGACTGATATCAGAGTTTAGACAAGTTGAAGCAGCCTAGATTTGCAAGGGAGAGTGCCAGAGGTTAGAAGTTCCCTGTGTCTTTGGCTGAATACCACTAATCCGGGCATGCATGAAGTGAGATTCCATGAGAAATGAGAACAGGCAAAGAACGACTAATGGGTGGATGTGATAGAGTAAGAAATACATATTTGATCTCTGGCCCAATTCCTGACACAGAGCTCCTAAATCCCTTAGAATTTCCTGGGTGATAGGAACGTCTTTTGTTCTAATGAGGCAACTCTTAGGGGACACCTGAATAGCTTCAGAATGAGGACTGATTATCAAAAAGAACAAGCTACCATTGGAAGCTTGGAACTTTCAGCCCTACCACTATCAACTGGGGAGAGGAAGTTGAATTAATAATTGTTTATGACTATGTGATAAAGCCTCCATAAACATTCCTAAACTCTGGGGTTCGGAGATTGGTGAATATATCCATGTGCCAGGAGAGTGGACACCCACCCAAACATCACAGGAACAGAAACTCCTGCACTCAAAACCCTTCTGGACCTTACCCTATGTATGTATGTCTTTATCTGGCTGTTCATTGTATCCTTTATGATAAACTGGTAATAGTAAGTAAAGTATTTTCCTTAATTCTGTGAGCTATTATAGCATATTACTGAACTTAAGGAAGGGATCATGGGAACCCCTGATTTGTAGCCAAGTCAGACAGTATAATTGAGTCAGTGGTTACTCTGAGGACCCACTAATTGAAACTGGTGTCTAAAGTGGGAGGTCAGTCTTGAGAGACTGAGCCCTTAAACCTGTGGGGTAATTAGGGTCAGAACTGAATTGATTTGGACATCCAGTTTGTGTCCACAGAGAACTGGAGAACAGTATGATATGGAAAACCCACATGTTTTGGGGTAAAAAATATTATGAGTACAGAGCTCACATAACACTGGATGATATTCTAGTTTTGTCCAGCTGAAATGAAGAAACCTTTTTGAACAGCTACGATACAAGAGGGATTATGCTTTAGTGGTAAACCTACATTTAGACCTTCCCTAAAAAGTTTAAAAGTTAAATCTCAAAATAATAAATCTGATTTGTAAATAATTTAACTGTTTATCAGAACTTAACTCAACACTTCTTAAAGCAAGAAAATAAAATCCAAATATTCAGCAACCTAACATGAACAGTGTCCCATGTCCAATCAAAAGTTACTAGAGATGTGGAAAAGCAGAAAAAATGTGACTCAAACCAGGAAGAAAAATTTCAACAGATACAGGTCCATCAACGACAAAGATACTGGAATTAGCAGACAAGGACTTTAATGCAGATATTATAAATATGTTTAAGGATCTAAAAAAAAACCTGAACAAGATGAGGAGAGAAATGGAAGACACAAAACAACCAGAAAGATCTTCTAAAGTTAAAAAATATAATATCTGAAATGAAAAATTCCCTCAATGGGATTAGACACTGCAAATTAGAAGTTTAGGCACTGTAGAAGATTAATAACTTGAAGACATTGCAAGAGAAGCTATCCAAATTGAAGTGCAAAGTTTGAAGAACAAAGTTTCAGTTATGCAGAATGAATAAATTCTAGACATCTAATATACAGCCTGATGTCTATAGTTAATAATATTATATTGTATACTTGAAATTTGCTAAGAAAGCAGATCTTTAAGTGCTCTTACCACACACACAAAAAAGGAAAAGGGAACTATGTGAGGTGATGGAATGTTAATTAGCTTGATTTTGGTTATCATTTCACAATGCATACATATATCAAAACAATACACTATACACATAAATATATACAATTTTTATTTGTCAAGTGTACCTAAATAAAGCTGGAAAATAAAAACAAACTGAAGCACAGAGAGAAAAAAAGATGGTAAAAAAAATTAACAGAGCCTCAGTGACCTGTGGTTTTACATGCATCTTCTCTGGAGTCCCTGAAAAAGAGCAGGAGAATATTTGAAGAAATGAAAACAGCCAATTTGATGGAAGCTATACTCCCTCATATTCAAGTTCAATGAATTCCAAGCAGGTTAAACACAAAACTCCAAGAAGACACACCATAATCAGATTACTAGCAACTCATGATAAAAGAGAAAATCTTGAAATCCATCAAAGACGGAAAGATACAGTGCATACAGGGCGAACAAGATTAAGAATGACTATTGACTTCCCATCCCAAACTATGTAAGATAATTAAACAATATCCTTAAGGTGACAGGGGGAAAAAATCCTCACATTCGATTCTCAACAAAACATCTTTCAAAAAAGAAGGTTAAAAAAAAAAGGTTAAAAAAGTTTCAGAAAATGAAACTAAGAGAATCACTGCCAGCAGACCGTCACTAAAAGAAATATTAAAGGAAGTCTTCTGGCTAAGAGAAAATGTTACGTGATAGAAAGTTAGTTAGTTCTATACAAAAGAACAAGTAGAACTAAAATAGTAAATACATGCATAATTATGAAAGATTTTTTTCATTAGAAACATATGTACGCAAAAAATTTTAAGCAAATATAATATAAATAATATATTGTAGGCTTTGTAATATACACAGAAGTAAAATGTACAGCAATAGCACAAAAAATGGGAGGGGGAAATGAAAGTATGTTTTTGTAAGTTTCTTACATTAGAAGTGCAGTGGTATAATATTATTTGATGGTAAATTTGATACATTAAAAGATATATATAATGTAAACCCTAAAGCAACCACTAGAAGAAAAGGTGAAGAGATATGATTAATTGGACAATAAAAGAGAAAAATGGAATACTAAAACAATTAACATGAAGACAAAATAAGGGAAAAAAAGGATCAAAGAATGGATTGTACAAATAGAAAAACAGTAGGAGTCTAAAAACCAACCATATCTAGAGTTACATTACATGAAATAGTAAAAACTCTAAAGACTCCTTTTGAAAGTCAAACACTGTCCCACTGGATAAGAAAACAGATCACAACTATATATTACCTTGTAAGAGATGCAGTTTGTATATAGATTTAAAGTAGAAGGAAAGAAAAAGATATACCATGCAAATACTAATTAAAAGATAGCTTGGCTACATTAATGATTACATTAATATCCAACAAAATAGACTTCAAAACAAAGAATATTACCTAAGTATGTTTTTGTAAGTTTCTTACATTAGAAGTGCAGTGGTATAATATTATTTGATGGTAAATTTGATACATTAAAAGATATATATAATGTAAACCCTAAAGCAACCACTAGAAGAAAAGGTGAAGAGATATGATTAATTGGACAATAAAAGAGAAAAATGGAATACTAAAACAATTAACATGAAGACAAAATAAGGGAAAAAAGGATCAAAGAATGGATTGTACAAATAGAAAAACAGTAGGAGTCTAAAAACCAACCATATCTAGAGTTACATTACATGAAATAGTAAAAACTCTAAAGACTCCTTTTGAAAGTCAAACACTGTCCCACTGGATAAGAAAACAGATCACAACTATATATTACCTTGTAAGAGATGCAGTTTGTATATAGATTTAAAGTAGAAGGAAAGAAAAAGATATACCATGCAAATACTAATTAAAAGATAGCTTGGCTACATTAATGATTACATTAATATCCAACAAAATAGACTTCAAAACAAAGAATATTACCAGAGATGAAGAAAAACATTACACAGCTATAAAAGGATCAGTTCATCAAGAAGACGTAATTTCAATGTGTACATATTTAATAAAAGAGATTCAAAATATGTGAAGCAAAACCTGACAGAAATGAAGGGAGAAACAGACAAATCCATAATTACAAATGGAGATTAAAACACTTCTGTCTTAGTAATTGACAAAACAATTGGATAAGCTGGAAAAACAAAGGAAGACTTGAACGACTGACTGAATTGACATTTACAAAACACTGTGCTCAAGAATGACAGAATTCGTATTCTTTCAAGTAGACATGAAACATTTACCAAGACAGAAATCATTCAGAGTATGGTCTTTGATCACAATGGAGTTAAATTAGAAATCAGTAACACAAAGATATCTGTAAAGTCCCCAGACATTTGGAAATTAAATAACATGCTTCTAAGAACCCACGTCAAAGAAGAAATTACCTGGAAATTAGAAGATATTTGAAGGTAAATGTTAACTAAACACAACATATTAAAATGTGTGGGGTGCAATTAAAGCAGTGCTTGAAAACAATTTATAGCTTTAAAGGTTTACATTACAGGAAAATAAAGGGCTAAAATCAATCTCATAAGCTTCTACTTTAAGAATCTAGAAAAAGAGCAAATTAAACCCAAGGCAACCAGAAGGAAGGAAATAATAGGAACAGAAATCAATGCAATAGAAGATGAACTATTAATAGAAAAAAATAATGACAACAAAAGTTGGTCCTTTGAAAAGGAGAAAAGAAAAAAAACCTACAAATGATCAATAGCATGTATGAAAGAATGTGTATCACTACAGATCTTACAGACATTAAGAGAGTAACAGGGTACTAAACACTGAAATCATCCAACCTACCTCTTCAAAGGAGTATTTTTCAACAGTGTGAAGAACATCTTGTGTCTCATTCCGCCCTCCAATAGAATAGATGCAGTCATTGAGTGTGGCCACCCCAAGATATGCTCTCCTCGTTCCCATTGGAGGAAGGGGAGACCAGCGCTTGGAAAGCGGGTCATAAACTTCAAAAGAACGAAGCTCTATTCCTTCATTGCTGATGCCCCCAATTACATAAATTAAACCTGGAAATGGAATATTTTTTGCTGAGATGATTAAGAAAGTAGGATATAAATGATTTTTAAAAATAACAGTTGTGATTTAAGTCTGCTGTACTGATGCTACAATTGATGAAGGGCTTACAACATACTTTATGAGAGAAAATTTCTCCTGTCTAGTTTATTACAGCTTGCATTTAAGCATGTTACAAAGAATTAGGGGTATGAATTTAAAATGGCATTTAATTTTCAAAGAACTTAATGATGCTGTAACAAAACAGCTTGTCAGACAAGGATTTCCCATCTTATTGTCTGCTTGATGATCTCAAGTTTCAGACCCACTGTTACCACATATAAAGGTTAAAAAGGAAAGGTAGAGCAGTTTTTTTTTTGCCCTAAAAAATGCCATGTGCTTAAACCATGAATAACAAGGCCATGTTTGGTGACAGCCTACCGGTTGTTGAGATGGACATAAAAATAGAAAATAGGATTTGAATTAGATTAATTAGAAGGCTATATTAAGGTATCAGGATAAATCACTAGAGTACAATAGAATGTAACAGAGACATCCTTGTTTTTTTTTTAATTTTGGTATCATTAACGTACAATTACATGAACATTATGGTCACCAGACTCCCCCCATTACCAAGTCCCCACCACATACCCCATTACAGTCATTGTCCATCAGCATAGTAAGATGCTACAGAATCACTACTCAGAGACATTCTTATTTTACTTGAAACGAATGGCTCTGGCAGTCTATAATTATTTTTTGAGTGTCTAGTATTGTTTCTCATGTTCTAAAATGAGGAGTTGGAAGATATAAAGAATGGCATTTTATGAGCTAAATGGCAGTAAATTTGGGTTCTAGCTTCTGCTTTGCCCAGTAATCAGCTCTGAAAAGACTCACAACATTCCTGATCTTCAGCTTCTTCATCTATAAAGAGTTTTAAATAGATACTCTCCAAGATGCTTCTATGATTTTAGATGGTATGATGTGATTTATAAGAAATACATATTTGGTCATCTGAATGCATCAGAAAATATAATTCTCCATGTATTTGGTCTTTGTCCACAGTACCTGGCATAGCTTCCCAATCTCTTGGAATTTCCTAAGTGCTAAAAGTGATAAAGGTATTTTAATTATTATGTTCATGAGGCGACTTTTGGAAAGCTCCTAATAATGGGGGCTGGTTAAACCAACCAAGTGATTAGAGGTTGGAACTTTAGTCCCACCCCCTGACCTCTGGGGAGGAAAAAGAGGCTGGAGATGGAATCAGTCCCCAATAGCCAATGACTTAATCAATCATGCCTATGTAATGAAGCCTCCATAAAACCCCAAAAAGACAGGATTCAAACAACTTTAGAATTAGTAAATACATGGGGATAATGGGAGAGAGAGCACCTGCAGAACATGGAAGTTCCGTGCCCCTTCCCTATATCTTGCCCTAAGCATACCTTCCATTGGGCTGTTCTTAACATCTTTTTTTTCCATTAAGGCACAATTGATATACAATCATATGCTCAGGTTTCACATGAGCAATACTGTTGTTACTACATTCCCCCTTATTATCAACTCCCCACCACATACCCCATTAGAGTCACTGACATCAACATAGTATGATGATACAGAGTCACTACTTGTCTTCTCTGTGTTACACTGCCTTCCCTGTGCCCCCTTATATTATGTGCACTAATCATAATGCCCCTTAATCCCCTTATCCCTCCCTTCCCACCCACCTTCCCCAGCCCCTTTCCCATTGGTAACTATTAGTCCATTCTTGGGTTCTGTGAGTCTGCTGCTGTTTTGTTCCTTCAGTTTTTCTTTGTTCTTACACTCCACAGATGAGTGAAACCATCTGGTACTTGTCTTTCTCCGCTTGGCTTATTTCACTAAGCATAATAATACCTTCTAACTCCATCCATGTTGCTGCAAATGGTAGGATTTGTTTTCTTCTTTGAATAATATTCCATTGTGTGTATGTACTGTATCTTCTTTATCCATTCATGTACTGATGGGCACTTAGGTTGCTTCCATTTCTTGGCTATTGAAAATAGTGCTGTGATAAACATAGGTGTGAATATGTCTTTTTGAATCTGTGTTCCTGTTTTCTTAGGGTAAATTTCTAGGAGTGGAATTCCTGGGTCAAATGTTGTTTCTATTTTTAGCTTTTTGAGGAACCTCCATATTGCTTTCCACAATGGTTGAACAAATTTACTTTCCCACCAACAGTGTAGGAGGGTTCCCCTTTCTCCACATCCTTGCAAGCATTTATTGTTGCTTGTCTTTTGGATGTTGGCCATCCTAACTTGTGTGAGGTGATATCTCATTGTGGTTTTATTTGCATTTCTCTGATGATTAGTGATGTGGAGCATCTTTTCATGTGCCTGTTGGACATCTGAATTTCTTCTTTGGAGAAGTGTCTGTTTAGATCCTCTGCCCATTTTTTAATCAGGTTATTTGCTTTTTGGGTGTTGAGGCATGTGAGTTCTTTATATATTTTGGATGTCAACCCCTTATCAGATATGTCATTTATGAATATATTCTCCCATACTGTAGGATGCCTTTTTGTTCTACTGATGGTATCCTTTCCTGTACAGAAGCTTTTTAGCTTGATGTAGTCCCACTTGTTCATTTTTGTTTTTGTTTCCCTTGCCTGGAGAGATAGGTTCATGAAAAAGTTGCTCATATTTACATTCAAGAGTTAACATACTTTTACTAAACAACATGTTTCTCTAAGTTCTGTGAGCTGCTCCAGCAAATTAATCAAACCTGAGGACAGGGGGTTATGGCAATTTCTGATTTAAATAGATAGTTAGTCACAGGTAAGAACCTGGGCTTGCAACTGGTGGCTGAAGTAGGGAGGTGGGTGTGCAGTCTTGTAGGACTGAGACCTTAACTGGTGGAATGTGATGCTATCTCTGGGTAGACAGTGTTAGAATTGGGTTAAATTCTTGGACAACTGGCTAGTGTTCAGCAAACTGCTTATTGATGGTGAGGGGAAACTGCACCCCCCCCCATTGGGTGAAACTGAGTCAGAACACCCAATTTAGATGAGAACATAATGATAAATACAGCTCACAAACATGGTGCTGCTAATGCACCCTGGTACCAACTCAGGGCCCTGGGGGCTGAGGTGGGTACCATCTGGATGCTGTACACAGCCCTGCTTTGCTCTCTGTGTGTAAATTCACAGACAAACATGAATGGATAACAACACAAAATGATATCAGAACAGTGGGAATCAGCAATTTTGCACAGGAAGCTTTGGGAGATATTGTTTACTGTAGTCTGTCTGAAGTTGGGACAAAATTGAACAAACAAGATGAGTTTGGAGCTTCGGAAAGTGTGAAACAGCTAGTGAACTCTATTTTGCTCTATCAGAAGTAACTAAAATTAATGAAGTGCTTGCAGAAAATTCAGGACTTGTCAACAAATCTTGTTATGAAGATGATTGGCTGATCAAGATGACACTGAGTAATCCTTCAGAACTAGATGAACTAATGAGTGAAGATGCATGATGAATACATAAAATCTACTGAGTACCAGCAATGAGACAGAAGCGGTAATTAAAAAACTACCCAAGAGCAAAAATCCTGGGCCAGATGGATTTACTGTGTAATTTAATCAGACATACAGAGAAGACATAATACCCATTCTTCTTAAAGTTTTCCAAAAAATAGAAGAGGAGGGAATACTCCCAAACTCATTCTATGAAGCCAGCATCACCCTAATACCAAAACCAGACAAAGACCCCACCAAAAAAGAAAATTACTGACCAATATCCCTGGTGAACATATATGCAAAAATACTCAACAAAATATTAGCAAACCAAATTCAAAAATATATCAAGAGGATCATACACCATGACCAAGTGGGATTGCTCTCAGGGATGCAAGGATGGTACAACATTTGAAAATCCATCAACATCATCCGCCACATAAACAAAAAGAAGGACATAAATCACATGATCATTTCCATAGATGCTGAAAAAGCACTCGACAAAATTCAACATCCGTTCATGATAAAAACTCAACAAAATGGGTATACAGGGCAAGTACCTCAACATAATAAAAGCCATATATGATAAATCCACAGCCAACATCATACTGAACAGTGAGAAGCTGAAAACTTTTCCTCTGAGATCGGGAACAAGACAGGGATGCCCACTCTCCCCACTGTTATTTAACATAGTACTGGAGGTCCTAGCCATGGCAATTAGACAAAACAAAGAAATACAAGGAATCCAGATCGGTAAAGAAGAAGTCAAACTGTCACTATCAGCAGATGACATGATATTGTACATAAAAAACCCTAAAGACTCCATTCAAAAACTACTAGATCTAATATCTGAATTCAGCAAAGTTGCAGGATACAAAATTAACACACAGAAATCTGTTGCTTTCCTATACACTAATGATGAACTAGCAGAAAGAGAAATCAGGAAAAGAATTCCATTCACAATAGCATCAAAAAGAATAAAATACCTAGTAATAAACCTAACCAAGGAAATGAAAGACCTATACCCTGAAAACTATAAGACACTCTCAAGAGAAATTAAAGAGGACACTAACAAATGGAAACTCATCCTATGCTCTTGACTAGGAAGAATTAATATTGTCAAAATGGCCATCCTGCCCAAAGCAATCTACAGACTCAATGCAGTCCCTATCAAATTACCAACAGCATTCTTCAATGAACTGTAATAAATACTTCAAAAATTCATATGGAACCACCTAAGACCCCGAATAGCCAAAGCAATCCTGAGAAGGAAGAATAAATTGGGGGGGATCTCGCCTCAACTTCAAGCTCTACTACAAAGCCACAGTAATCAAGACAATTTGGTACTGGCACAAGAACAGAGCCACAGACCAGTGGAACAGAACAGAGACTCCAAACATTAACCCAAACATATATGGTCAATTAATATACGATAAAGGAGCCACAGACATACAATGGGGAAATGACAGTCCCTTCAACAGATGGGGCTGGCAAAACTGGACAGCTACATGTAAGAGAATGAAACTAGATCACTGTCTAACCTCATACACAAAAGTAAATTCAAAATGGATCAAAGACCTGAGTGTAAGTCATGAAGTCATAAAGCTCTTGGAAAAAAACATAGGCAAAAATCTCTTGCACATAAACATGAGCGACTTCTTCATGAACATATCTCACATATCTCCCTGGGCAAGGGAAACAAAAGCAAAAATGAACAAGTGGAACTATATCAAGCTGAAAAGCTTCTGTACAGCAAAGGATACCATCAATGGAACAAAAAGACATCCTACAGTATGGGAGAATATATTCATAAATGACAGATCTGATAAAGGGTTGACATCCAAAATATATAACAAGCTCATGCACCTCAACAAACAAAAAGCAAATAATCCAATTAAAATATGGGCAGAGGAGCTGAACAGACAGTTCTCCAAAGAAGAAATTCAGATGGCCAACAGACACATGAAAAGATGCTCCACATCACTTGTCATCAGAGAAATGCAAATTAAAACCACAATGAAATATCACCTCACACCATAAGGATCGCCACCATCCAAAAGACAAACAACAACAAATGTTGGCAAGGTTGTGGAGAAAGGGGAACCCTCCTACACTGCTGGTGGGAATGTAAACGAGTTCAACCATTGTGGAAAGCAATATGGAGGTTCCTCAAAAAGCTCAAAATAGAAATACCATTTGACCCAAGAATTCCACTTCTAGGAATTTACCCTAAGAATACAGCAGCCCAATTTGAAAAAGACAGATGCACCCCTATGTTTATCGCAGCACTATTTACAATAGCCAAGAAATGGAAGCAACCTAAGTGTCCATCAGTAGATGAATGGATAAAGAAGATGTGGTACATATACACAATGGAATATTATTCAGCCATAAGATGAAAACAAATCCTACCATTTGCAACAATATGGATCGAGCTAGAGGGTATTATGCTCAGTGAAATAAGCCAGGCAGAGAAAGACAAGTACCAAATGATTTCACTCATATGTGGAGTATAAGAACAGAAAAAACTGAAGGAACAAAACAGCAGCATACTGACAGAACCCAAGAATGGACTAACAGTTACCAAAGGGAAAGGGACTGGGGAGGATGGGTGGGAAAGGATGGATAAGGCAGCGGGGAAAGAAAGGGGACACTACGAGTAGCATTTATAATGTGGAGGGAGGCACGTGGAGGGCTGTGCAACACAGAGAAGACAAGTAGTGACTCTATAGCATCTTACTACGCTGATGGACAATGACTGTAATGGGGTTTGTTGGGGGGGACTTGGTGAAGGGTGGAGCCTAGCAAACATAATGTTCCTCATGTAATTGTAGATAAATGATACCAAAAAAAAAAGTCTATTGAGGAGTGAAAATGGAACCCCTAAGTAAACTAGTATGAAACAACTTAACCTAGTACAGTTGTCTTATAATAGTGGTGTTTAGAGAATTTTAAATGGCAACTCCTAGCAGTACCAATAGAAAAAGAAACTACTTTAATCAATGCTGCAGGAAGAAAATACCCCTTAACTTTCTAATGATTGTAGATGAACTCAATATTCATCTTTCCCACAATACCCTATGATTTTTAGGCAAGGCAACAGTTATGGTATTCAGAGTTGCTAAATTTATCTGTTTGACAACTAGGTATAAAAATTATGTAATTTAAGGATAACATTGTTATCTTAAACCTTATATAATATAATTTACTTATATCTATCCCTGGATTTGGGTCAAAATATTTAAAGATATTTCTATTGGGGATACCTGGCAGTGGAAAAAAGTTTTTGTTTTATATTTCCAGATGAAGAACAATATTATCCTAATTTTGCAATATATTGTGTTTGCTGGTGCTGTTTTTATACAGTGAAGCAACAGCCTTGCAGGAAAATAAGTTTAATAATGAAAAATCCTGCATCTTCAAAAAATAATAATAAAAGAATAAATACAAATAATAAATACAAATAAATACAAAACAACTAGAAATCACTATAATATTAAACAAGAGAATATACTTCACACCATCTAATATGAGCATGTGGAAATATGAGAAGATACTCACAAAGCAAAAAGAACCTGAGGTGGGTACAGAGCAGGCTGAGTTGTCATCTAACAATGGGCAGATTGCTTCCCATTCTGAGGGAACATATAAATCTCTCCAAAAAAGAATCAGGTTCTATTTGACAGTGCTCACTAATTACCTCTCAGGGTACAGAAGATAATTTAAAAAATGTCTGCACACCATTCTAATACACAAAACATTTTTCAATTCAAATCTGTCATAGTGTTATATTGGGTGGACTTAATGTACCCTGTAAAAAAACACTGAAGAAGCCCAAAGGAAGAGACTGTGAAGATTGTTTTTGATAGTCTCTCCTTACTCAGAAATACTAAGGCCTGCATGGGAGAGAAAACGACAGGAATGAATGACAGTTTAAATGCTTCTTTTGCTTAGTCAGGTATTTCTGCCTATCTGGAATTTTAAATTCTAGCTGTGTTTATTTTGGAAAAAATAAATGATTATTTTGGCAATTCAGAAATAAAAATAAAAGATTAAAAGCAGAACTTTCATACTGTGTCAGTCAATTCTAACAGAGATAAAATATACTTTTGTGAAAAGAAAGCCTCAAGCTCAGTTTTAAAAAAACATTTTTTCAGGAAAAATATTTTTAAAGCAATTACCTTGTATTTCACAACACCCAAAGTAGTAGCGTGACATAGCCATGTTGCCAACTACTTCCCATTTATTTTCATCAGGATCAAATCGTTCAATGGTGTTCCCTATCTCAGCTCCAACCCATCCACCTGTAACCAAACACATGGACCACAGGGATTATTTGTCCAAGATGGCATGAAAAGGTAGAATTTGTGAGTAGAACTCGAACCCTTTCACTCTCTGCCTAGTTCTCACTAGAGATTTAAAAACAAAACAAACTTCAACACATTGCACAGGAAATATGGTACTTTGCAATACCACCTTTTGCAACAACTTCTACATATTCAGAATGGCTATCCCAATAATGAGATTTACCTAGTTAGCTAAAGTGCTTCACTAGACATTTCATCTATATTTTATCTCCATCTCCTTCTAAGAACTACATTCATAATATGATCTAAATAGTTCTATTTTGACAATAAGAATTTATAAAACTGAAAAGACACAAGTTTCTTACAGGAGGGAAAGAAGATTTCTAAACTAATCAGAATCTAAGAATTTAAATAATATTAGATATCCTTAAACAGCATAATTACCCAAAGCATAGATAGCCCCATAACACACACACACTCCTAAGCCACAGCGGGGGTGATTCATTGAAGCTGCAGTTGTCCACTGTTTAGTAACTGGATCATAGCATTCTGTACAGTCAAAAATCATTGAATCCTTTTCACCTGAGTTAAATAAGAGACACATATGGGAAGGTCTGTTAATGTTAATAGCCTGGAATCATAGTACAATATTCAGTAGCATTCTGTGTTGTCAGAAATCCAGCTATTATATCTGATTTTATACTATGCATTAAAACTCATTTGCCTAGCAAGTGTTATTTGAATTCCATTGCACTGTCATTTATTAAAACCCACTTAATAAAACAAAGGCACAATTCCTGTGTCTATTTCTAACTCTTCCACCCAAACAATCCATGTAATTTTTGAGGATACAATTTGCATTTACCATTTCTGTGTTTTTTCATGTATTAGTTTAGATAGCAGGCCCTGGAACAATTTGAGTTTTAATATAATCCTTATCTAGCAACAAACAGAAGATAAAAAATTTCTTTATAGAATTTTAAAATATACTATACCTAGGAGTAAGTCAAATCAAAGATTGTACAAAACCTCTATGGATAATTTATAAACTTTATTTAGATAAAATTTTAAATTAAGGAATATTTAAATAATTGATTATCTGTATCATGTTCATTAACTAGAAGTCAATGTAAAGACAGTTATCCCCAAACTGATTATAAACTTAACATAATCCCAATTTATTGTGTCACGATACATATAACATAAAATTTACCATCTTAACCATTTTTAAGTATAGAGTTCAGAGATGATAAACACATTCCCACTGTTGTACTGTCATCACAACCATACATAACCATAACTCTTTTCATCTTATAAAACTAAGACTATACCCATTAAACAGTAAGTCCCCATTCTACCCTCCCCCTGCCTCTGGTAATCACCATTATTACTTTCTGTCTTTATGATCTTGACTTACCATGTACTGCATATAAGTGGAATCACAGTATTATTTTTAAAAACAGATTTGATGAACTGATTCCAAAATTTGTATGAAATACAAAGGGTCTAGAATAGCCAAGCACTCCCAAAAGAATAATGCGAGAGAAACTGCCCTATCAGTAAGCTTATCAGACTTAAAACAGAGCTATAGTAATTAAGGTAAGGATAGACAAACCAATGGAACAAAAATGAAATTCTAGAAACAGATCCACACACATATGATTACTTGATATATGAGAAGAGTTCGCATTACACAGCAGTAGGGAAACAAAACTCTTTTATACTGGGACAATTGGTTTTATATAATGGGTTAAAAAGTGAAACTGGATCCCTAGTCATACTATCCATAAAAAATTACAGGTGGATTGCAGACATAATGTAAATGGAAAAACTAAAATTTTAGAAAACAATAGGCATATAACCTTATGATTTTGGAGTAGGGAAGGAGTTCTTTAAAAGATGCAAGAAACACTAATGATAAAGGGAAAAAATGTTGGCTACATTAAAATGAAAAACATCTGTTTATCAAAAGATACCACAGAGATAGTGGAAGATGAAGAGCAGAGTAGGAAAAGAAAACGTAACACTTTGTGAGGCCTAGACTCCTGAATGTATACAAAACTACTATGCAGAAAAGAGTTAACATAGCAGGCCTGAAATTACCTATCCTCAGAAAGGCTGCAGTCTGGGAATATAGCTAGTAGACAATTCCTATACTGCTATAAAATTTCCCCTAGTTAATAAGAGTAGCTTTTTGCCTTGATGAAAATGTTCTAAAATTAGATAGTGGTGATGACTGCACAACTTTGTGAATATATTAAAAACCACCAAACTGTACACTTGGTGCCATTTGGTATACTCTATATAGTGAATTTTATTGTATGTGAATAACATCTTAATTAAAAAAAAATAGTATTTAGAGTATTAACCCAGATATGTATGTAGATGGAAATAAGCCAAATTATTTTTGGTGAGCTATCTCTGGGTGGTATGATTATAGAGTATGGGTGATTTTTATTTTCTTTTTCACATACTACAATTTTAGCAATATTTTCTGCAACATCTGAATTACTTTGATAATAAAAAATATTTTTTAAGTTGTATATTAAGAATTATCTTAAGATAGCAATGTTGATAGTAATAGTTAGCAAACTCATATAACATTTTGAAAGGGCCCCTGTAAGTATCTTTGTAGCATCAGAAAATGGGATACATATATATGAAAGTGTCACAAAGGACACTGTGAGCCTAGGTTAAATGGAGAGTTCATACAATGAAACTATCCATAACTGCCAAATGTACATTAAAAGAATTATTAAAGTTCTAGTCAAATAATTATATAGAATTATGGTCTTTATACTGGAAGTTATTGCTTAAAATTCTAGTTTCTTTGTAGGGATTTTCAGATACACCATGACATTTACTGATTTAATGAACAGTTTTTGAGTGACAATTATGTTCCGTCTAAGGCATAAATAAAAATAAACCCTATATCCTCCTCATTTTTAACTGACAGTATCATAGTCAGAAACTAATACAAATTTTTGATATATAAGTTTTAATATTTAGATTGATCCACAGACATAAAGCAAAAAAGATTAGCTGTAAGGGTTATAAATGATCTACCTAGGCCTGTTGCTATAAAGACAAATTATCTAGCAGTATAGACTGATATTAAAAGTGTTAGCACTATTTCTATTTAGAGCCTTCTTTGATATTTATTTCCTTCCAGCATTCAAATCCTTTTATTTAGTTTTATTCATTAATCATTTTAAAATTCAAAAGAATCATTTCAGAAAACAAAGTGATTTCAATCAAGAAATATATTCCAATGTCTAGCTGACTTGGTTTTTATATATCCCCCTATCCAGATAACTTGGTTAATTAAAAATGATTTGTAATGTAGCTTTCAGAATTAAAAAATTTTTAATCATAAATGTTGACCTCATATTTGGTCATTGTTGGTGCATTTTTTATAAACAACTCATTAAACCCAAACCTAAGTATTCTGCCTTATGAACAATCTTGTGCTTCCTTTTTCTTTCATTTAATAATATTTATTGAACACAACTATATATATATATATATACCCATAGTACCTAGCAATATATATAAGGCACATAAGAATGTAGCCAGCTTACAGCTAGAGATTTTATATATATATATATATACCCATAGTACCTAGCAATATATATAAGGCACATAAGAATGTAGCCAGCTTACAGCTAGAGATTAATAAGGGAAATAAGACATTTTCATTGTTACCTCCAATAGCATAGACCATCCCTCCCAGAACTGCTACTCCCAGCCCACATCGAGCCTGATGAAGTGAAGACACAGTGGTCCAGTACTGGCTAAAAGTGTCAAAACGTTCCACACAGCTGAGGGCTCTGCTGTCACTCCAACGACCTCCCTGCAACCGAGTATATCCACCTGAACAAAGGAATGAAAGGAGATACAGGGCAAATCCTTTACCGTTACATATGGTAATGGTAGTACAAGAAAAATCTAGCCCTCTACATCTAGACATTCAGCATAACTATTTCATAACAAGGAATAAGTGTTTCAGAGCTTGCCATATATACATATATTATTCTCAAATGTGCCATGTCACAAAAGATTATGGTTTAAATGCAATAAGATTAACAACAGTGTTCTACCACCAAGTTTTGATTATAATATCATGTTAGATAAAACATAAAAGGAGCTGATTTAGTTAGGATCATCTGTCTAGTAAGGAAGTTTCATTATGACTTCTATTAGTATCTTCTTCAATTAAAAACAGAGACTTGACAATGGAATATTATTCAGCCATTAAAAGAAAACAAATCCTACCATTTGCAACAACATGGATGGAGTTAGAAGGTATTACGCTCAATGAAATAAGCCAGGGTGAGAAAGACAAGTACCAAATGACTTCACTCATCTGTGGAGTATAACAACAAAGCAAAACTGAAGGAACAAAACAGCAGTAGACTCACAGACTCCAAGAAGGGAGTACTGGTTACCAAAGGGGAGAGGTTGGAGAGGGTAGGGAGGGTGGGGAGGGAGGGAGGGAGGAAGGGATTAAAGGCACCATAATTCACAATCACAATATAGGTAGGTTATGGGAAAGGCAGTACAGCACAGAGAAGACAAATAATGACTCTTTAGCATGGTATTACACTGTTAGACAGTGACTGCAGTGAGGGGGTGGGGACCTGATAACTATAAGGGTGAATGTTGAAACCACAATGTTGTTCATGTGAAATTTCCATAAGATTGTATATCAATGATACTTTAAAAAAAATTGAAAGGCAATCTAAAAAAAATAAGTGACTTGAAATCCTTGTTTGATTGCACATCCCATCAGTGTAAAACAGACAATTTACATGTACTCAAAAACCATGTGTTTATATAATATATATAGAAATATACATAGAATTATATACAAATTATAAATTATATTATACAGAAAGTATACATAAGTTATATATGAATCTGGGTGATCTGTCTATATATATATATATATAGCACATATTGATAAGGTCTAGGGCTTTTAAAAACAAAAATGACAGGTTTTAATATGTTCATCTGACACTCATATGGATTATCCTGCACACCCGTACTTTGGAGACCACTGGTTCCTACCATCCCTAATGATCATCTAAGACACTGTGAATTGTTAAAAATTTTGAGATTCACTTTCCTTATTTTTCACTAGAATTCAAAAATTTTAACTTTTAACATTTAAAGAAATATTTCTTTAATCAGTTACTTAAGAATAGTTGGGTAGTCTGAGAACCCAGAGATTTAGATTACAGAATAATAGAAGGTAAATAAGTAGCTATTTATTCTTAGATGTGTCCATTGTATTATATAAACATTATTTATAAATTTGTAGGCTGTATGTGAAATTAAGTATGTGCCTGTTTGACATATTTACATATTCTGATGTATAATAACAACAGCATATTAAAAGTTTTTGATCCTGAAAATAAAGATAATTTATATTACTTTTTAAAATGCTCTCACCTACTACATACAGGTACTTTCTTGCTTTCTTCCGAGGTCGAACCTTAGATGTCTGCAGGAAACTACAGAACTTGTTCTCTTTGGGAGATTTGCACACCTCACAGTACTCTTTCAAAAGTGTTTGCAATGCAACACGAAGATTAAAATCAGATATTCCTAAAGCAATGTTTAAAAAGATAATGTTTTAGTGAACTTTTAAAGAATATTGAAAAAACATGTCTCCATAAAGATAATACACATTTAACAATAAAAAGATAAAAACTCATCATCAAACAATGGAGTTTTTTTCCTACAATACTAAATTTTATTTTTCTCATTGCTACTAACAAATATACTTTCCTTAAATCAAAGATTGTTTTTAAAAATATGCTTTATAATATCCCCTTTGAAAAGACATGTATGAGAATTTCTAAATAAAAATGGCAAGGTGAAACAGGATCACAATTATCTAACAAAATGAAAAAATAAAATAGCCCAAAATTCTATACTTACAACCTAATAGCAAAAGGATATAAAATTATTTTATAAACTTTAAAAAGTGATAGTCAAAACAAGAAACAAAAGATTCTGATAGGATGAGGTCCATCTCCTAAAAAGACATTCAGCATGACTAGATAAGTTGTTCCTGCTCCAAAGTGCCTATGCTAAGGAGGTGAATTGGAGATGAGTCAAGCTGTGTCCCACTTGGCAAGCCAAAGACCTCGGTCCCTGAATGGGCATTATTTTCTAGTTTGCACAAAGGCACCATATATGCTAGCAAGGGACTGTGTCCAAACCTTGTACATCCCAGAAGCAATATTGAGGAAAGAAGGCTAACTTAACAAATTCTGCAGAATTCACGCTAGTAACTGATAATTTGAAGAGAGGCAGCAAGAGCAGGTAAGCAGAACTGAGAAGGCAAAACAAAACCACTGAAAGAAAAAACTTTTAAGGACCATCAGTAAAGGCAGAGAGGATCACCAGAGATGCCATCTAACCACAGTGCTAACCAAATTCCACACTGATGAGATACATCCTTAGCTAGATTAAGTAGGCCCTGACACAAGGTCAGTAATAGGATCTTACAAGAGCAAGCTCAGAGCCCAGATCGCCAGGCAAGGACCTCGGCCTTGGCCGATATCTATTCTTCCATCGTATTCATGCCTCAGGCTAGAAGTGGTAAGAACACAACAAATAGACCTCAAATTTTATATGGGAGAAACACAGTAGTTACACTAAGGTAGAAAGGGTGTCAATGAGAATTAATTCTGACATTATCAGAGCAAACAGGTTTGAATAGAGTCAACCATGTTAAGCAATATATCAAGAAATAGCAATGTAACTATTAAAATATATCCCAGGAAAAAGAAGGTAAAGATATTGAAGAATTCAGTCTAGAAGAAAATATTAGCCACAGAAAAAGACTCTATAAATGCTTCACAGGATAGAATTACTTAAAAATATAGATCCCATTAAAAAAAGAGCTCAAAAACAGAATGAGATGCATTTGCTAAGGAAGCAGAGTGAGAAACTGAAATAATGGTAATGAAGACTCAATAAATTAGAAACAAGAAACAACAGATATGACTAAAAATCAAATTAGTGACTTGGAGTAAGGATTTATAAAAACTGTGAATACACAGCAGAAGACAAACTATTAACATTAGAAGATGATAAATACGAAAGACAAAGAAGTTCCAATAAAAGGGTGAAGACTACCAAATGAAACACTGGAAGTATTCTGAAATTTCATACTGGAAAATTTCCCCAAAGTGAAGAAAAAACTGAACCTTTAAAAAGAAAGGGTATATAATCTAATGAAAAATGACAAACTTTAACACAAATTAAGAATAACAGAATAAGTGAAAAGTGTTAAAGATTTTTAAAAATAAAATATTATCATTTCCTAATAATTTGAGGATATTTCAGAGAATATAGCTTTATCTTTGCTTCCTGAAATAACTGGTCAGTTATTACTAATTAATAAAAAAAATGAGAACTAAGGTTTTGAAACTGTTCTCATAGTTTAAAAGTGTGTCTGGGTGCTAATCTTTTATATAAACTGATGCTAATCTTTAAGAATCTTCAAAAATCTTTAAATCTTTTTTTTTAAAAAGGAATAATTAACTTGATAATGGGGGTATCTAGTAACCACAATGTTGCCCGGGTGATTTTATATTAATGATACCAAAATAAAAAATAAATAAATAAAGGAATAATTTAAAAATTCTTTAGGCGTCAAAGTAGAAAAAGCAAGTGATTAAAACACAAACATGCCTTACAAGGTTCAATGGAGGGGAGGAAGGAGTAGCGTCGCTAACTTAATATTCTGCTCACCCAAACTGTTGTTGAATTTAAAAAGCATGTGAGAATTCAGGAAATACAATAATCATAAGCCTTTCTTGAAAATAGTATTTGGTGATAAAATCCAGTCAACTAAACAATGAATCAACAAAGAAAATTCATGAATAAAAAGACTATGGTTGAAAAACAGGTAGAGAGCATCAAATCCATTTAAATACAGACAAAACCAGAGTTTGGGAAACCATGACTGAAAAATAAATCTATATAACAGTATAAACCTTGAGTGGAGGGGTAGGAAATAAAATAACAATGTTAATTACCTCATTTTTCTCAGAGCCTGCACTGTTTAAAACTGAAACACAAAATGAAACCTATGATTTCATCTTTTAATGATTTTCATCTTTTGTCCTTAACTCTGTACGAACTTTTTAGAATGACTATTTCTTGGGATAAAGAAATATTTATCTCAAATTAGTTATTACTTCTACTTTTTTTCCTTGTTAACTTTTAGTAAGATTTAAATACATTTCTCTAAAATGCAAGAAACAAATGTTATCATATAGCTAATATTATTAAATTCCCTGAATTATTCCAGTGTTAAATCCAAAAACTATACACCAGGAGAAAAATCTACTCAAGTCACATAATTTAACCATTAACTAATGGTTAAGTCTTTTGCTCCCTTTCTGAATTTTGTGATAGTGCCTCATTATTTTTCTACATAAATCGCCCATCTTTCCCCTAATATGATCAAAAAGAAGTTTCAAAGCTGAAAAATATTAAGGTTGCTCTTTTAAAAATCTTGCATTTATTTCTCCTTTAACTCCTTGCTGTTTCACTCCAGTGAAACACCTTTAGGTGATAACAATTGAGCATGCTCAATATTAGCAGTACAAATACTAAAAAGCTGTAGGAAAACATGTTCCAATTCTAGGGAAACTTGTCTTAATCCTAGCAGAGGAACTTTCCTTTAGCACTCCCTCTGTATCTTCTACATTTGGGAAAAGCCAACTCAACCACTAAAGCTTCTGTCCCACTCCTAAATTCTCACATGATTCATGAAAAAATGTGTATGGATATCTCTCTGTTTTGTTTAGTGTTTAAATACAATTGTGGAGGGAGGGGTTTAAATACGTACATACATACATACAGTTGCAGATTCCTTATTTGTGAATACATCTATCCATTAAAATGTATTTGTAAACCAAATTAATATTTCTGATGCTTTCCCTATCATTCATGGGCATGCCACAGACTGGCAAAAAATTTCAATCACCTGACATGCATGATTCCAGGTGAGAACGGACAAGGTGACACTATTCCTCTTGTTTCATCTATTCTATATAAACAAGTGTCCTTTTCAATCTACTTAGTGCCATGTTTTTCACATTTTTATGCTTTTTGTTGGTGATTTTGGTGTAATAAGGGCCCCAGAGCCTAATGGTGAAGTGCTGTTGTCTAGTGTCCCAGGTGCAAAAAGGCTATGATGTGCCTTACAGAGAAAATACATGTATTAGATAAGCTTCATTCAGCGATGAGTTACAGTGCTACTGGCTGTGAATTAAATGTTAATGAATCAACAATGTATATTAATTAAGGTGTAGACAAAAACACACATGAAACAAGCTTATATATCAATCAGTTGACAAAAATGGGACAAGAAGCTTTTAAGAACTTACTCTGCATTTCCCCTCGGAACAATGGCTCAATATTTGCCAATTCACTGATAATGGCTAATTTATAGAATGTATCTACTGTGAATAATGAGAATTGACTGTATATGCACTAATATAAGCTATTACTCAGAAAAACCTGTAATTCTGTTAACCTGTAATTCTGTTAACACTGCTAAAAGTGGAGAAAAATTAGAAACCCACATTAAATGTAATTCCTTCACAGATTTATACCTTTAATGCTAATAGTGTATTTCATTTAGAAGATCATTTGTAAAAAAAAAAAAGATCATTTGTAATTCAGTCACATTCTCAAGGTTCAATGCATGACAAGGCAAAATCTTCAAATCTTGAAACTAGGTCTAAAGTAGTTTTTAAAAATAAATTTAAACATTAACATTTTTCTAATATAAAGATTAAAAATTTTTATACTATGGTGAAAAGATATGATTCAAAGGCTACTTGAATTTATGATATATTAATATAAAATTCATTTTATAATGAGATGACTTGACAGGATTTATTGAGTTTTGCTTTTGTTTCTATGTTTGACCATTTGTAGTTTCCTCAAATGTCTGTTTTGCTGAATATTTCAGAGTGGTAAGAGGAAATCTTACACTGAAATAATTAGTACCTCAGTGGTATTTTAGCTGTCAGTAATTTAATCTGTAACTCTAATCTCTTGTAGCACTTAATCTCATGAAAGGTATATAAGATTTTGATTAAAATAATGGGTAGAAATACTGAAATACTACAATCTACTCACAAAACACAAAAGTGGTATTTGGCATGTAGCAATCATTCAATAAATATCTGCTATTGAACATAAAAATGAAAGTACCCAATCACATTTAAAAGAAAAAGCCACTGGATAGTTAATTGACTTATTTGACACATGATAACAAAAAAGTTACCTTCTATATACTTTAAAAGCCTCTGAGGAGGTAACAAAGGGAATCGAATTGGGTCTAGCACTTCCACCACATATTTTCTTCTCTTTCCCAGATCTTTCAGAATCCACTGCATTGCAGCTAGGAAGACCTGGTATTCATCCTCAATGCTAAGCTCTTCACTCCGCAAAATTTTGATCAGCTGATCTTTTGTAAGTGCCAGGAACTCTTCCCCACTATGAACCTCTAAGAAATGGACATGAATGTAGTTTTCCGTGAATTCCAAAAGATCATGGCAGGCAATCTGCTCAGAGAACTGAAATATCCCAATGCAGTTCAGTGGATCAATTTGTCCTTTCAGGAATTCACAACAAAGATTAACAACTTCAGTCAACTGTAGCATGTCTGCTGCAACAATCAACTCTTGCACATTATTCACACCTATGTTCACTATACCTAGGAAAGTACAGAGACAAAATAACCAATAAAATAAAAAACAAATATTTGACTTATATTCAAAAGCATTGTATGTAATTCCACTGACAGCTTAGTGTTTGCAGAGTAGATTGATGTTAAGTAAAAAGGTGACAAAGTATTGTAGAAAGAGTGCAAAACTTAAATGATAATGACACTTAACATTTATGGAACACTTACAATGAACCAAACACAGCACTGTTTCATACATTCATTTACCCTTACTACAAACCCATATTGTAGGGCTTCTTCTTATATTTCTACTAAGAAAATAGAATTAGAAAGTTAAATACCCTGTCCCCATGTCACATAGTTAAGTGACTTGAGGGTAGGGATTGACATCAGAGTCCATGCTTTTAACATAAGGCTATATGTATCTGACATTTACTGAGTCACTGGGGAGATTAACATATGGGATTAAATATACTTAAGTAACTATATATATTGCTCTCTTTCCAGATGGCATCACTTTCATGTATTTACATAATGGCTTTTGGAGGACATCAAATAGTCAATTATATTTGGACGTTAATTATATATATTACATAAAAATACCATTATAATCCTCCTACCTAAGAAAGATAAACTCTCCACTTAATCTTACACTTTCCCTTTGTCCCTTTTTTTAAATTAAAGTAGTATTGATATACACTCTTATGAAGGTTTCACATGAAAAAACAATGTGGCTACTACATTTACCCATATTATCACGTCCCCACCCATACCCCAATGCAGTCACTGTCCATCAGTGTAGTAAGATGCCATAGATTCACTATTTGCCTTCTCTGTGCTATACTGTCTTCCCCGTGACCCCCTACACCATGGGTACTCCCTTTGTCCCTTTTGTAACATTCACTCCACTAAATTATTTGTCTAAAGTTATATTTCCAATTATATTTATAGTCTGTTGGGGCAAGGCTTGCTCTTCTGTATTCCCAATGCCTAGCACATACTAGGTTTTCAAAAAAATTTGTTTTAAGTCAATAAATGGCCAGAGATTATGGCAAGAGGAGGAATATGGCTTGTTGAATGCTAAGAGGTTTTCCAAAAGTGTAAGAAATCGAATCTACCATGGGAGCAAATGGTAGTGGCTGCAGAGAAAACTGATACAAGACTTACCTGAATGAAATGAGCATTCACTACAAATTTGAAGAAAATCATGGGTTGTGACCTAAAGGGGCTAAATGACTGCTAATGAATAAAGCCAGAGTTACTTAAGAGTAATAAAAAGAAATCCTTATGACTTAATAAGGCTTTATAGATTACAAAAAGCACTTTTACATTATTACAATTTATTTCATTTAACCTTCACATGAATTATAAAGTGCTATAATCCCTACCTTATGAAAGGAAATTGAGGCTCTCACAAGCTCATTTCTATTTTTTTAAGTACCTAATCATTACCTAAAAAGCTCTGTAGAGGCAGAGGCCATGCCTATCTTGTTTGCTGTCTATTCCTAGTGCCTAGCTCAAAAAAACTATTTATAAATATCTGTTGAAAGAATGAATGAATAACTGACTAAAGTTAAATGAAATGCCTTGTATCACATAGCTAATAAGTGGCAGAGCTAGATCACAATCTGGGTTATTTGATTCTAAATTAAGTGCATAAAAATCTAAGGTGAAAAATACCTGTTAAGACCTATTAAGAGTTGTGAATGGTTAATAAAGAACGTACAGACAAGTCCAAAGGAGAGATCAACAGAACAATTTTGCTGCCCCCACATCCCAAAAAAGGAAATGCTATTACAATGAAAATCAAAGAATCTGTTTTTTAAGAACTAATTGTACCAAAGACTACAAAGTTCCCTGTCTAATAAGTAACCAACATTCATTTTCTTTTCATCCTTCTTAACAGAAACTTAATTTTGTTGTTTGTGGCAATTATGCCCTGCTGAAAATTGTATCTTAGCTTCCCTTGCAGACAGAGGTGAATTTTTTACTGAATTTGGCCAACGGAATATAGGTAGCTGTTATTGGGTAGGGCTACTAGAAAGTTTATAAAGAGGACAGACTCATCTGGCAAATCCCTTTCACCTTTCCCTTTTCCTTTTTCCACTGGCTGGATTTCAGTGATCATGATTAGAAGCTACAAGTCAAAGATGGTGAAGCAAAATGTTGGAAGAATAATGGACACTAATGACATCATGAAGTCACCATACCGATCTTGGAATGCCTACCTGTATTCATTTTTGTGGGAAAAAAAATCCCTATCTTAAGCCACTTTGTATCTTTTACTAGCAGCCAAACACTGTTCTTAACTGTTACACCAATTTTAGCCTTCAATATTCTACAATGTTATTACCCCCAGATATGCTCAATAGCTTTTATTTCTCTGGGTTTTACCACTTTATATTTCTTTGATGGAAGTGCTAATCACAAGCGACACAGTGACGATGCCATAAGCATCCTCTTTTATTAAAAGCTCTTGATGCTACTGTCACAACAGAGGTGGAAGAGATATTGTGGCATTTCTTCTGTTTTGCTTAGTTCAACACTACTTCCATCAGATTAATCCGTGTGAATTTAAATTTTGAAAATAATAGAAGCATGCGCATTTATGAAGCAGTTTTTAGTTCACAAAAGTCATTTAGAAAAGTGAGGCCAGGAACCCCTCAGTGTTAATTTGTACATGAGTCAGTAGGCAGAGCTACATCGCTTTCAGCAGATAAAAGATAGTTATTTTTCTCTGTGGCATCTTACTACACTGATGGAGAGTGACTTCATTTGGGCATGGGGGGGACTTGATGATATGGGTGACTGTAGTAACCACATTGTTTTTCATGTGAAACCTTCATAAGAGTGTATATCAATGATACCTTAATAAAGAAAAATAAATAAATCAAAATAAAAATAAGTCACTTTTTATGATCCCCAAATTAAGAGTTATTTTCTGAAATTTTACCAAAAAAGATATGTAACAACACAAAGGGAAATCACCTTTTGTCATTTTCCAGGTTTAAATACCATGCACTAAATAAGCAATACTTTATCAGACCACAGTTATCTCCCATAAGTTGTCCTTAAAGGAGAGCACAGTGTCTCTCAAAACTAGACCAAACATGATCTTTATTTTCAAACATTTTTTCTTGATTATAAGAATAAAATACATTCGCTATAGAGAAAAATATATTCACTATAAAAAAAAGTATAAAAATGAAAGTGAAATAACACATTTTCCCACATATACATTGTTTTAACACGTTAGTGTATTTCTTTCTAATCTTTTTTCCAATGTATATTTATGTTATCATATAGGACTTACACTTTACATGTTTTTTTGTGTGCATTTTCTAATGTCATTAAATTATGCAAAAGTTTAAAAAATAAAATTTTGGTTGAAAGAATACATGCTGATTATAAGCATTTTGAAGAAAAAATAGAAAAAAGGGAATCTTCCATATTCCAGTGATAAACTTATCAACATTCTGGTCTTTTTCCTGTGTACAAATACAGACAAATAATTTTCTTAAACAAAATTGGGGTTGGTATTTATGTCTACATTTTGTTCATTTAATACACTGTTAACATTCTTCCATGATAGTGTGTGTGTTTGTATGTGTATATATATATGTATTTATTTATACCGTATTTGTACCATAATATTTACTTAATCATATAACCTACTGAGGGACAATTAGACTGTATTCAGTTATATACTATCACAAATAATATTACACTAAACATCCTGGTACATAAACTTTTGCTTCTATCACTAATTCCTTAGGATTCCTAGAAGAGGAATAATGGGTCAAAAGTTAAGAACTTTTCAAAGGCTTGTAATAACATTGTCAAATTATTTTCCATATAAGTTAAATTAACTTACATTCCACAGCAGTACATGAGTGATTGCAATATTCTTTACTTAAAGCTACAGGTTCACTTAACATACCTGTGTAAATGAAATCTAGAAGTATTTGAAAGATTCCAGCTTCAATTCCTAGAATCTGTACAACATCCTTTGAGGACTCTTTCATTCCTCCAGAGAACAAAGCTGCAAAGTAAGGACTACTGGCAGCCAAAACCAGCCGGTGAACTTTAAAGGTTTCCTTCCCAACTTGCAACTGCACATCACAGAAATGCTGTTCACTTCTCATTTTACTGATCCGGGCCAAGATGAGTTGGGCATGTTTATCTGATGAAAAAGGACTATCACCAGCCTTGGGATAGCCCTCATTAGCCATGATGATAGATCAATTAAAAGGACTGTCGCCCATAATCTGGTCCTGAAAAACAAAAGAGAGCGACCAAACAACATATTTTTGCTTCTAACATGTCTTCTATTCATACATATATCAAACATTCCCTATTTGCAAGGAGCTTATACTTAGGGACATAAAATACATATGAAACAAAGACTAAACTGTGTGGTACTATTCCTAATAAGGTTTCAAACGGAATAAGTAACGGGGCCTAAAATAATTGGAGGATGATTCAACAGCAGAAATGGGACCTGAACTGGATACTGAAAGTTAAACAGTATTAAAATGAGGAGAAGGCATAAGCCCTCGGAGTAGGGTAATGAAAATAAGGCAAGGCACAAAAGCATAAAGTTTTTGTACAGTGCAGTGAGGAAACACATAATGCAGCCAGAATGCACTTTAAGAAAGCAATTGGGATCAGACCAACTGTCTGTTTAAATCTTTCAATTTATATACTTCCCTTAGTACATAAAACCCTTCAAATCTCACTCACGTCTGTCTATCCATTCCTATCTCCTATAGTCTTCTTTGTTTTTGTTTTAGGAATTAACTTGCAATTTATTACTAGATATCACTGTTCCTCAGCTGTCCCTTTACAAGGATTTTTTAAAACTGAAGTATAATTAATATACAATATTATATTGGTTTTGAGTATACAACATAGTGATCCCTCCTATACTCTTCTTTGAATTTAATGGTCCTACAAAACCTAATAATTTGCAGCTCTCTAAAAATGCCTCTGTAATGGCACTCTTCTCCACCTTTTCCTTTGCATCTTTGTTACAGTTCAAGACTGTTCAAATAGTTTCTTCCAGGAGCCCTTCCCTGTTCCTCTCTCCTTTGGGTTTGGTGCACACCATAAGCTTACCTACTTTATAGCCTATATTACACTCTACCGTGTCAGATACTCCACCACCCTACTCCCTCAAAACACATACAGGACTCCCCCCTCCCCTCCGTCTCTCCCACTCTCTGAAAGGTCCTTGAAAGGCAGTCCTTTAAGGGCAAGGACAACGTTTTATAGCTGTAACACCAGTATCTTACATGTATCAAGTTTTCAAATGTTTGTGAAAAGAATGAGTACAACTGAAATAACAATACTGGCTTAGGTTTTTTTTGTGTTTAACTCTGATAGTATTTCCACACATTATACCAATTGTATACTTCATTTGGGCATGGGGGGGACTTGATGATATGGGTGACTGTAGTAACCACATTGTTTTTCATGTGAAACCTTCATAAGAGTGTATATCAATGATACCTTAATAAAGAAAAATAAATAAATCAAAATAAAAATAAGTCACTTTTTATGATCCCCAAATTAAGAGTTATTTTCTGAAATTTTACCAAAAAAGATATGTAACAACACAAAGGGAAATCACCTTTTGTCATTTTCCAGGTTTAAATACCATGCACTAAATAAGCAATACTTTATCAGACCACAGTTATCTCCCATAAGTTGTCCTTAAAGGAGAGCACAGTGTCTCTCAAAACTAGACCAAACATGATCTTTATTTTCAAACATTTTTTCTTGATTATAAGAATAAAATACATTCGCTATAGAGAAAAATATATTCACTATAAAAAAAAGTATAAAAATGAAAGTGAAATAACACATTTTCCCACATATACATTGTTTTAACACGTTAGTGTATTTCTTTCTAATCTTTTTTCCAATGTATATTTATGTTATCATATAGGACTTACACTTTACATGTTTTTTTGTGTGCATTTTCTAATGTCATTAAATTATGCAAAAGTTTAAAAAATAAAATTTTGGTTGAAAGAATACATGCTGATTATAAGCATTTTGAAGAAAAAATAGAAAAAAGGGAATCTTCCATATTCCAGTGATAAACTTATCAACATTCTGGTCTTTTTCCTGTGTACAAATACAGACAAATAATTTTCTTAAACAAAATTGGGGTTGGTATTTATGTCTACATTTTGTTCATTTAATACACTGTTAACATTCTTCCATGATAGTGTGTGTGTTTGTATGTGTATATATATATGTATTTATTTATACCGTATTTGTACCATAATATTTACTTAATCATATAACCTACTGAGGGACAATTAGACTGTATTCAGTTATATACTATCACAAATAATATTACACTAAACATCCTGGTACATAAACTTTTGCTTCTATCACTAATTCCTTAGGATTCCTAGAAGAGGAATAATGGGTCAAAAGTTAAGAACTTTTCAAAGGCTTGTAATAACATTGTCAAATTATTTTCCATATAAGTTAAATTAACTTACATTCCACAGCAGTACATGAGTGATTGCAATATTCTTTACTTAAAGCTACAGGTTCACTTAACATACCTGTGTAAATGAAATCTAGAAGTATTTGAAAGATTCCAGCTTCAATTCCTAGAATCTGTACAACATCCTTTGAGGACTCTTTCATTCCTCCAGAGAACAAAGCTGCAAAGTAAGGACTACTGGCAGCCAAAACCAGCCGGTGAACTTTAAAGGTTTCCTTCCCAACTTGCAACTGCACATCACAGAAATGCTGTTCACTTCTCATTTTACTGATCCGGGCCAAGATGAGTTGGGCATGTTTATCTGATGAAAAAGGACTATCACCAGCCTTGGGATAGCCCTCATTAGCCATGATGATAGATCAATTAAAAGGACTGTCGCCCATAATCTGGTCCTGAAAAACAAAAGAGAGCGACCAAACAACATATTTTTGCTTCTAACATGTCTTCTATTCATACATATATCAAACATTCCCTATTTGCAAGGAGCTTATACTTAGGGACATAAAATACATATGAAACAAAGACTAAACTGTGTGGTACTATTCCTAATAAGGTTTCAAACGGAATAAGTAACGGGGCCTAAAATAATTGGAGGATGATTCAACAGCAGAAATGGGACCTGAACTGGATACTGAAAGTTAAACAGTATTAAAATGAGGAGAAGGCATAAGCCCTCGGAGTAGGGTAATGAAAATAAGGCAAGGCACAAAAGCATAAAGTTTTTGTACAGTGCAGTGAGGAAACACATAATGCAGCCAGAATGCACTTTAAGAAAGCAATTGGGATCAGACCAACTGTCTGTTTAAATCTTTCAATTTATATACTTCCCTTAGTACATAAAACCCTTCAAATCTCACTCACGTCTGTCTATCCATTCCTATCTCCTATAGTCTTCTTTGTTTTTGTTTTAGGAATTAACTTGCAATTTATTACTAGATATCACTGTTCCTCAGCTGTCCCTTTACAAGGATTTTTTAAAACTGAAGTATAATTAATATACAATATTATATTGGTTTTGAGTATACAACATAGTGATCCCTCCTATACTCTTCTTTGAATTTAATGGTCCTACAAAACCTAATAATTTGCAGCTCTCTAAAAATGCCTCTGTAATGGCACTCTTCTCCACCTTTTCCTTTGCATCTTTGTTACAGTTCAAGACTGTTCAAATAGTTTCTTCCAGGAGCCCTTCCCTGTTCCTCTCTCCTTTGGGTTTGGTGCACACCATAAGCTTACCTACTTTATAGCCTATATTACACTCTACCGTGTCAGATACTCCACCACCGTACTCCCTCAAAACACATACAGGACTCCCCCCTCCCCTCCGTCTCTCCCACTCTCTGAAAGGTCCTTGAAAGGCAGTCCTTTAAGGGCAAGGACAACGTTTTATAGCTGTAACACCAGTATCTTACATGTATCAAGTTTTCAAATGTTTGTGAAAAGAATGAGTACAACTGAAATAACAATACTGGCTTAGGTTTTTTTTGTGTTTAACTCTGATAGTATTTCCACACATTATACCAATTGTAGGACTCACAAAAATTAAAGGCTAATAGAGAAGTTATTGTTACTCAAAATAAAAAAGAAGGAAACTGAAACTCATAGTTTCCCAAGGACATTAGTGTTAGAGTAACAGCAGTTTCAGTGTTTGAATTCAGGTCTTACTCTAGATTTTGGTCTTTTCCCACAATCATATGCATAGGAATTATTAGGCCAGGTTATAAAGGGCTTTGAAACCTACACAGAATTTGGACCTGAGCCTTTATAGGTTCATCTAGAGTAAACATGACAGCAGTCATATTTCCGAACTGTCATTTGAGCCTTCAGAGGTACAAGCTAAGAGGCAGTAAAGTCCTAAATTTTAAAAAACCTTACAGCTTGAACAATGAGAGTCAAAGGGATAAATCCAAGTTACTTTTTGAATAAAGAAACCACCAGATTCAATAACATAAGGGATGTAGAAATGGAACACGAGTAATCTGAAATGACTAAGGTTTTGTAATTTAGACATTAAGGAAAATCAGTAATAGGACTGATAGAAATGGTGTGGGCTGTTGGAAAAAAAGTGGTTTAGAGCATTCAATTTTACCAAAGTAAAAATAACTAAGTTGATTATCTAGGAATTAATTACTGAGATTACTGAGAAATCGGAAAAGTACCAAAGTAGCTGCTAAAACTTTCCATCAACATCTACAGAAGACGCTTATTGCATTTAATTGGCATAAAAAAACAGTGTATTTGTCTCTACACAGAAATTTGACCTTCAGGTATTATTCAACAAATCATGGCTGTCAGGTTTTTTTCTGTTTTAGATTTCTTCCTGTCAGCAAGCAGGTTTTGGACCCATGGCTTAATTAAAAGGTACCTCTTCTGCTCCCAAGTGCAAGGCATCAAGCACAGCCACCGAGTTAAAATGCTGCCTCCTGCTACAAAAAGGAGAGTTCACTGAATAGCCATTCACTCAGGTGGCAAGACAGCAAAAATCCTAACCAGTTATTACGCTTTTTAGTAACCGCTGATACTATTGCACTAACAGTGGGGTATTTCACTCCAAAAGGCGGCAGGTGGTGTAACCATATTTACAAAAGTTAAAAGCCTAATTCCAGGACGTTGCATAGGGATGTTAAGGATGTAGGGGATGGGCCTACAGAGACGCATACTTGAAAGGCAGATTATTAGGAAACGGTGGAGACGCCCAGAGGAAGTAAAGAAAGACCTATTTGGTGGCCTTGCATTCACTGCCGAGGGCATTTGGAAGCTGCGTCGGCAAAGAGTGTCAGAAAGAATTCCAGGACGAACAGGCTTCAAAAACAAAACAAAACAAAACAAAACAAAACAAAACACGAAGCTCTTTGTGCCTGAGTTGGGGGCTGGGCCCGGAGAGTTACTCCTAAACTGCTGCGGATAAACGTTACGGCGTTGCTGAAGTCGCAGATCTGTCTGGTGAGAGCAAGACTGGCCCGGGGCTCGGCCTTCGATTCCTAGGGGGGCGGGGAGAGAGGCAGGAACGGAGCGGACCACGCGAAGGTCGGTGGGGGTTGAAAACACTTCCACTGTCAGAGGCATCTCTGAGCGGCACGAGGAACCCGGTTCCAGAAGCTTCTCTGTCTTTCCTCCTCGGGTCCCGAGAGCCGAAGAGCCAAAGGGGAAGTTCCCAACCTCGTCACAGACGCACCCGGGACGCAGGCCATTCTTACCACCGCGTCCCCTTCCCGCCGGCGCCCGCTTAGGCTCCGCGTCCCCTTCCCGCCGGCGCCCGCTTAGGCTCTGCGCGCGCAGTCGCGACCGACACGGGCGCGGAGTGGGCGGGGAACCCGGCGCGGGTGAGCGGGCAGCGCGGGCAGACGAAAGCTCAGGGGCGAAGGCCCGGCCCGGCCCGGGCAAGGGGGCTCTGCGCGTGCGCAGTGTTCTTCCGCTCGGGGAGAGACGGCTCCCCGTGCCCACTGCTGTGGCCCCCGGCTTGTGCTCGTCTCTCCGGTGGCGAACCGCGTGGCTGCCAGCGAGCTCATGCCGGTTCGGGCTGGCAGGCCCGCGATGTCCACTCCACCTGCATCCTCTGCATTCCTGTGGCGTCCCAGGCTGCCAGCCAACCTCAGTGTACAGGAAAAGCAGGTTCAAACATCCTGCAGGGCACTTCTCTCTACTCTTATTTTCTTTTTTTCTTTTTTTGAAGAACATTATGTTTACTACACTCCCCCCTTCACCAAGTCCCTCCCACATACCCCATTGCAGTCACTGTCCATCAGTGTAGTAAGATGCTGTAGAATCACTACTTGTCCTGTCTGTGTGGCACAGCCCTCTACGTGCCACCCCCTCATATTATACATGCTAATCGTAATGCCCCCTTTCATTCCACCCACCCCTTATCCCTCCCTTCCCACCCATCCTCCACAGTCCCTTTCCCTTTGGTTGCTGTTACTTCCATTCTTGGGTTCTGTGATTCTGCTGCTGTTTTGTTCCTTCAGTTTTTCTTTGTTCTCAAACTCCACATAGGAGCGAAGTCATTTGGTACTTGTCTTTCTCCACCTGGCTTATTTCACTGACCATAATACCCTCTAGCTCCATCCATGTTGTTGCAAAAGGTAGGATTTGTTTTCTTCTTATGGCTGAATAATATTCCATTGTATATATGTACCATTTCTACTTTATGCATTCATCTACTGATGGACACTTAGATAGCTTCCATTTCTTGACTATTGTAAATAGTGCTGTGATAAACATAGAGGTGCATCTGTCTTTTTCAAACTGGTCTGCTGCATTCTTAGGGTAAATTCCTAGAAGTGGAATTCCTGGGTCAAATGAGATTTCTATTTTGAGCTTTTTGAGGGACCTCCATATTGCTTTCCACAATGGTTGAACTCATTTACGTTCCCACCAGCAGTGTAGGAGGGTTCCCCTTTCTCCACAACCTCGCCAACATTTGTTGTTGTTTGTCTTTTGGATGGTGGCGATCCTTACTGGTGTGAGGTGATATCTCATTGTGGTTTTAATTTGCATTTCTCTGATGATTAGCGATGTGGAGCATATTTTCATGTGTCTGTTGGCCATCTGAATTTCTTCTTTGGAGAACTGTCTGTTCAGCTTCTCTGCCCATTTTTTAATTGGATTTTTTGCTTTTTGTTTGTTGAGGTGCATGAGCTCCTTATGTATTTTGGATGTCAATGCTTTATCGGATCTGTCATCTATGAATATATTCTCCCATACTGTAGGATACCTTTTGTTCTATTGGTGGTGTCCTTTGCTGTACAGAAGCTTTTCAGCTTGATATTGTCCCACTTGTTCATTTTTGCTTTTGTTTCCCTTGCCTGAGGAGATACGTTCATGAAGAAGTCGCTTATGTTTATGTCCAAGAGATTTTTGCCTGTTTTTTTCTAAGAGTTTTATGGTTTATGACTTATATTCAGGTCTTTGATCCATTTCGAATTTACTTTTGTATATGGGGTTAGACAACGGTCCAGTTTCATTCTCTTACATGTGGCTGTCCAGCTTTGCCAGCACCAACTGTTGAAGAGGCTGTCTTTTCCCCATTGTATGTCCATGGCTCCTTTATCATCTATTAATTGACCATATATGTTTGGGTTAATGTCTGGACTCTCTATTCTGATCCACTGGTCTGTGGCTCTGTTCTTGTGCCAGTACCAAATTGTCTTGATTACTGTGGCTTTGTAGTAGAGCTTGAAGCCAGGGAGCGAGATCTCCCCCACTTTATTCTTCTACTCTTATTTTTAAAAATTAATTTTTTATTGGGATATCATTGACAGGTAACATTACATTAATTTCAGGTCTTTAACGTAATGATCCGAATTTGTACTTTCTATTGTATATTTCATTCACTCAGATCATTTTTCTTGAGTCTCTCCCCGACTGAGCCTGGCACCGTGAATAAACAGATACTTTGAGGGAAGGCAGAACTCAAAACATCCAGTTTTTTTGCTGTTGGACCTTATAATATGTCACATTAATGGCTTTCAAACCTTTCCACCCATCCCACGGTGAATAAAAATATTCTACGTCAAACCCAACAATATCACATATGTGTATATGGATGGATATAGCTGAAACAAAATTTAACAAAATTAGGTTTATACTTTCTACTAGCAATGCACTTAATTGCTTCTTTTTTATTTCATTACCAAAGCATACTAAAAGGGACCTGTTGCCAGAAAACATTGTCCAAATCTTGGAAATGAACAAGAGATTTCTGGGTGCCCTTTCAGTATAAGGCTGGTCATTGTCTAGCAGGCACTGGAAGGATTTGAATCCATAGAGATGTCTTTCTAGTGACTAAGCTATTTTAAAAGAAAATTAATATTTAAAATAATTCTTGCCCACTCTGTAGAAATTTACAGCACAAAACACATTATCTTGACCTTTGGAATATTACACCACTCTCGCCTTTCTTAGCAAATTCACTTCAACATTCCTGATTCTTAGCAAATGCATACAACATTCCTGTAATATTTGATAAGGAAAAAATCCCGACATGTCCTAAAATTAAGTGACATAAGGGTTGACGAATACAGGAGGTAAGGGAAGTTAATTAATAGGCACAAGCCATTGCCAATCAGAGATTCCACAATCCTGAGTGGAGTCATTTCAACAATTAACTAGAAGGCCCCCAGAATCACAGCATTCCTTTTTCATATGAAGACTCTTGGCAGATATCCAGCAACCAACCTTCCCTGTGGACTAATCACCTCTCCCAGAGCTTTCCCCAAATCACCCCACACACCCTATCTATAGCCAATGTAAATTTAAACAATTTTCTTTCCTTGAGACTCCTTCTAAAAAAGTTCCCTGTTTCTTGAGTCTGGTGGACAAGTTATTTCTGGCACCTGGCTTTGCTGCTGGTGAAACAGAAACTTCCCGTCCCAAGATTTAGTCCTTTTTCTGACCAGCATCTGTAATAGCTCAATAAACCCTTTTATTTCAGGGATCTATCTCATGGTAATCAGAGTTTGACTTGTCACATTTTACTGGTTCCCTTCTTAATTAGTAAGATAACACTTTCGACATGTGTTTATTTTTATGAGTCATGACTTTACCTTTTAGAAAACTATATTTCAGCACCACTAAATTCATTTCACAACTTCCTACTGGATTGCAGCCAGCGTTTGAAAACCAGTGCTTTAAGGTGTATACCTGGGTGCAGAATTGCCAGAACATACAGCATGTGCATCTTCAATTTCACTAGAAAATGCCTCTTTTCCATGTTCTTTGTTCCAATTTACATTCCCACCAGCAGTGAATGAGAGTTCCCATGTTCCACATCCTTGCCAACACCTAACATCACCAAATGTTTCAGTTTTGTATTATCTGGTAAGTGTAAAACAGTATTTTGTTTCTGTTATAATTTACATTTATTCCCTGATGATTAATGAGATCAGCTGTAAAAGATGTTTATATAAGCTGTTGTGGACTGAATTGTGTCTCCTCTGACCCCAAAATTCATATTTTGAAGCCCTAACCCTCAATGTGATGCTGTTTGTAGATGGGGCCTTTGGGAGGTAATAGGGTTAGTGAGGTCATGAGAATGGGGCTCACATAGTGAGATTAGTGACCTTATAAAAGGACACTCCAAAACTCCAAAGAGCTTATAAAACTCCAAAGAACTTGAGTATATGCAGAGAGGACAAGTAATGATTCTATAGCATCTTCCTACGCTGATGGACAGTGACTGTAATGGGGTATATGGGGGGGAGTTGATAATGGGGGAAGTCTAGTAACCATAATATTGTTCAAGTAATTGTACATTAACGATACCAAAAACAAAACAAAAAACTCCAAAGAGCTTGTTCTCTCCTTTCCCTATGTACCCACTATATGCACAGAGAGGTTATATGAACACAAGGATGGAGGCTGCCTACAAAGCAAGAGAGAAGGCTCAGAGTGAAGCCTACTTTGCTGTCACCTTGATCTTGGACTTCCCAGCCTCCAGAACTGTGAGAAATTAATTTCTGTTATTTAAGTGACCCAGTCTGTCTATGGTATTTTGTTATGGCAGTCCAAGCAGTCTAATACAAAAGCCAACTCAGTTTATTTTTCTGTAAAATGGCTACTCATGTCTTTTGTCCATTTTTCTACTGAATTTTTTGTTTTTTATTGATTCGAGGCGGTCTTTTATTATATGTGTTGTGAACATTTTCTTCCAATTTGTGGTTTGTCTATATCGTTCTTTTGTTGTCTCTTTTGATGAAGAAAAGTCCAAAATTCTGCCAATTTATCAGTCTCTTTATGTTTTGCACTTTTGGTGTGTTGCTTAAGAAAGTCTTCCCTTCCCCACTATAGTAAATATATAATTTTATATTTTCCTCAGAGTGTTTAATTTGTCTTTTCATATTTAATATTTCTAATCATTAGGAATCAATTTTTGTGAATGGATTAGAATAGGGATTCAATTTCTGCTTTTGGTTTTCTATATGTTTAACCAATTTTCACAATACTATTGAATAGTTCACATCTTTCCCACTGATCTGCAATGCTTAGGTCTCTATATTATGTTCCTTTTGGGCTGGAATCAATTCTAAATTCAGTTCCCTTGGTCTGTTCATCTGTGTGCCCTGCTGTTTTAATTACTGTAGTTTTATAGTAACTCTTGATATCCAGTAGGACAAGTTTCCCCACCCTGTTTTTCTTCATCAGTATCTTGGCTATTACTAGCACTTTTCGTTGTCCTATGTAGATTTTAGAACCAGTCTGTCAAGTTTCACACACACATACACACAAAATGGGGATTCTGGTAGAATTTCAATAAACCTGTAGGACAGTTTAGAAAGAATTAAATCTTTATAATATTGAATACTCTTACATTAACAAAATTAGATTTAGGAAAAACTTAAAGTTCTTAGTTTTACCCATAAAGGTCTTATATATCTCTTATTATGTTTCTTCCTGAGTACTTTTATGTTTTTACTATTGTAAATTATATATTTTTAAGAATTATACTTTATGTTTGTTGGGTATGGAAATGAAATTCATTTCTGGATATTGATTTTATAGACAACAACCTTACTTAGCTCCCTGATTCATTAAAGTTACAGATTTTTAAATTTTCCTGTGTAAATAATCATATCTCCATATATGACAATTTTCTTCCTTCCTTCCTCCCTCCCTTCCTTCCTTTCTCTCTCTCTCTCTCTCTCTCTCTCTCTCTCTTTCTTT